AATGGTGGCGTGGAGGGTCATCCGATCATAAGGTGGCCAGTTATGTGGCCCTCGTATGCTCGGACAACCCGCCCCGCCGCTTCCAGGTACATTTTGCGATTATAGTACTGCGATTATAGCGAATATTTTGAGATTATAGTACTGCGATTATAGCGAATATTTTGAGATTATAGTACTGAAGCCGCTAGATGAAATGGCAGCACAGAGTCTGGTGCACGGATAACGAGGCACACGCTGCTCGATATATATCGATATGTCGAGAATATATTCTAAGTAGCGTGTGCGCTATCTGGTGGCAAGCTACGGCCGGATCTAAACGTAGTGCCATTTCATCTAGCGGCTACAGTATCTTGCCGTATAGTGCGTTCCAACAGCCGTTGCCTATTTCTCACAATTTCATGATTTGCATATTTGCACAATGTGTTTGCAAATACAAATGCTTATTGGGTAGCAGTGAGAAAAAGCGACAATTAATTATCTCTAAAACCTGAAATTGTTTTTGAAGATTTTCATTGTTTCTAACAATGCACATCCACTCAATTGTTACAATGAGCGATGCTTTTTTAGATGTGAATCGATCACATCGAATCTTCCGTTGACGCAAGATTCTCCGCGACCCAGAAAACCTTGAAACAATATTTCTTTTTTTAAAAACCTTTTCTTCCATTTCAGACGCTTGCATGCGCTCAAAGCCCCGTTTGATTTTATATTATTTTGATGTAAGAATGAAATGTAAAATGTTCGGAACTTTGATTTCAGCCCTAATCGCTGAATCCTTGGTTTTTTTAGAATTAAGCGGGGCGTCCCTGGCCTGCAAAGTTTTTTTGCCGCCGGAGAAATAATAATATGCATAATGAATAATCTTTTGTTGGCTGCACTTTTTGCAATAAGTGAACGGATATAGAAAAGTGTCCCTTGTGAAGCAGTCAATGTTATTTCCGCTATCGTTCGGTAACACCTGTGCTCTTTTGCCTTGGCTATTTTCATAACTGCACCGCAAAGGTGCATCTGACGAGAAACTGAGTACCCAGTGTTCATTATAAAACTGTTTTGGTTGTCTATATTTTGGTAATTTACAGTTGTATATGTTTTGCGCTGAGAAGGATGAAACTGCAGAATACGATGTACTTACAAGCAGAGTATGATGTACTTAGAATTTATGCCAGGTGGTATCTGGGGCCGATCCAGTGATTTTTAATGAAAACCATGATTTTTTGTAGCATGTGTTCGGCTGATAAGTCGTTAGCTGGCGCCGGAATGCAAACATCCGGTTTTGCTACGCACTACCTGACTTTTACACTTCAAGGCCAATTCGCCTGATTTAATACCCTACCGGAAGCCATTTTCTGTGCCTTGGCCAGCTTGCACTGACCTAATCGGTGGTGTAGTGTACAGTGCAAGTACACTTACGTACAAGAGCAGCGATGTGTATTCTTGTGAATGTGTATAATGTCCGATATCCACTGTGATGTGTGCGTAACCGGTAGTAGAAGTACCAGCATATCTACGTTATGTCTATTTTAGCTGGTTTTTGCTTGGCCAGCGAGCGCATAATATTCATTATAATAAAGGTATTATACCGCTGCTGCAAACATGACAGGTAGTCATCGTCCAGTTTTAAATGCAGGCTGACGATTACCCCATCAGGGTTGGGCGGTTTTCTTGTGACGCGATGTCCGGTGGGAATTCTACCGAGGCCCGGGATGGTCAGGACAGGACAGTCATGCAATGCCGTGAAGACCTGTGCTACTGCCGGTAGGCCATGGTGAACGACTTCAGTATATTGTAGCGATAGTATTTGAACGAACAATAAGACCACCCAGTTTTGATTCATCATTCCATCGCGTTATGAATTATGCCCACTTTACCGGCCGGCTTGTTTGCCTTCTCATGAATTTCTAGAATTCAGTTTTGTACTCAGCTTGCTACAGCTTGCATCTACTTGATCAACCTTATCCTAAACTCTTGCTCCGTTTCTTGAACACCCTTGTCATTAAACATGCCTTAATGAGTTACGTTGTTGCGTTTGACCGCTTGGGATGAACCTGTGTCATCCCAATCGGAACCACCAGTGTAATTATGTAACATCAGTACCGTAAGAGCGTCCTCGGCCAGCATCGTTGCCGGTCGTGCCACCTTTCATCACAACAGCCGCATAATCGTGGTAAAGCTGACCGTCAACCCACTAGAACAGCAGCCAGATAGGCTGTTGCTGCAATATCATCGTTTTGGAAGTTATGTTGAAATTGTTTGTCGTTACCAGGCGGTACGCTGAATCGTACAAACGAACGTTCAGTGCCACTGTAGCAGGAAGGGCGCCCAGTCGTTGGCCTGCGTCCAATGCCGGGTGGGCGTTGCCCGGCACCGACCGCGGAAAGGACCGAACATTTGGCCCTGCTGGGTGCCGATGATGCTTGTACAATGGCTTTGTGGCTGCCGTAGTATGGCCAGTATGGCGTGGTGTCTTATGGACAACGCACGATGCCGGTAGACTGTAAAGAGCGGTCTGTGGGATTTGCACTATTTTCTAAAGCGGATGCTGTCTGGATGAGGAAATTGCATTCAACTGCGTACAAGGATGCTGGAGGCAGATTATGTCGGTGCAACGATGACTGGCTCCTGCTGCACGATCAGAAACAGTGGAAGGTGTTGACCACCGGTCCTCTCGTGACGACTGATATAAGCACGGTACGACTGATTTAAGCACTTCACGACGAAGACCTCGTCGTCAAGTGTCTGTATCGGTGGCCCTGATAAAACCGGGGTATAACCAGACAATTGCAACGCAGGCCTGTTATGAACATAAGTCACATACCGTCTGTTGCTCGGTGTTGTAATGATTTATACTGTAGAACTAAATCAGCTAGGTATGTGTGTACAGTTGTTCTCGCAGTACAACTGTTCAGTCGTGGCGTGCCATTGCCCGTGATCTTTCGTAATTCATTGCCCATAATTTGGGGAGAGAATCTTTGAGAAAGCCAGACAGCTGCAACTACAACACTATAGTCTCTAGCGATTATCTTGACAAAAATAATCATGCTTTCACTGGGAACGTGTCCATCACAATCTGTAGCCGTTCAGCACTGCTGGTAAATTTGTAACAAATAATCGCGAGCTTTGAGTTAATTTTCTGAAGAAAGAGCAGCTTATGATGTTTTTACTGCGTCTCACCATATAGCCTGTTCTGATACAGTCTTGCTCATTACAGCCTTTTCCTCTTGAGAAACCGTCTCATGAGCATTCCTAAGGTCAACGTTCTACGGTTTACGCACTGCACTTTGCTCAGCTGAGCAGATTATTTGATGTCACGTTACTCAAACGAGTAGAGAGGGCCCCATTGACTTTTTTATTATAGATACCTGTGAAATTTAGCAGCTGCGTTTGGCAAAAAAACAGTTGAACTCCTCACCGCGCATCTTGAATTCTCATGAAATCCACAAGCAAGTTTTTTAACGGAAAGTTTTTACCAATTTTTTACGAAGTGGCCTGGCTCAAATTCTTGTTTTCAAGAGCAACGCCTGTGCAGTCTTCCGAGTTTGGATACGAAAAATGTTTACCGGATTTTAATGTTTAAAGTTGGTGTTTGAAGTCAGACCACAGTGGCACAGTGCTTAAAGTTAGACCATCATAAAACAATGTAGACTACTCTAGCGTATGAGAGTGCGTGAAACAAAGTTTATGTGCATCACTGGTGCATGCACATTTACATTGCAGTATTGTACCGTGTACAGGTACCGTGTACCATGTACTGGATCACTTCCATTAAGGGGATGAGAGTACGGAATTAGCTGCATCCTAGGGTACAAACAGTAACTTTACACCGAGAGATTCCGATAAATGCGCATCTATCTTTACCCTCAAGTCAATCAAGCCGGTTGCTTACGCCAACTGTAGGCGTCGCGTTTTACCAGCAAGCTTTTTCCGGATCGACAACACAGGACCGCCACGTTTGGGATTCGACATACTGGTTGTCATCTTTGACTATGATTAATATTCTGCTGTGCCACAGGGGAGATATTCCGAGGAAACAATATTATTTTTGACGGAACAGACTTTCGTGAACGGAGCGTGCTTGGTATTCCGAGCACACCGTTTATTATGCAGAGTACCTTCTCCACTACTTCAGTACAGCAGACAAGGCTCCAAGTAGGGCATCTGCGGTTAATTTCATCAATTTTCATTTACAAGTTAGTTATAAATTTACGCATTTTACCATGAACAAGCTGTTTACACTTCTTGTGTGAACAGCTAAACGTAAACGGTTTATTTAGTCAACAGTCTCAACGTATCTTAATGAATTGCTTAACGTACTGCTTGCTGCGTATATTTCGACTGATTTATCATAATTATTTCGGTCACTTTGCTTACTCCTAAGTCTATGTTTTCTGAAAACTGCTTCCTGCTCAATCGCCGGTTACGTATACTTCGCCATCTACTCAGTAGTCTCGAGTTTGTATTTCGTCTTTCTAAATTTATTGTGTTTGTCTATGAAGAACTGTTGGTTGTCTGTAGTTTGTGAATTGATTTTTCTAAGAGCATAGCATATTAAAAAAAGGCCATTTGGATTACAAAAGCCTCGGTGACCAGTTTCTCGAGACATATTCGAAAAATGATTAGAAGATGATAAACACAAAAGCAGCGGGAGCTTTTACCCGATTAACAGAAAGATTTTCTTTTTCTTGTTCTACCACAAAGCCCGTAGTATCGTTGCGTCGACGCATCACGCTGGTGATTGACGTCAAAGGAGGGTGGGCGCGCAGGTAAGAAACATGCAGGGTTGGTAGATTACCTGCGGCTGAACTTTACAGCTCATGATTCCTGCGTTCACGGTAATCTTTGCCAAGCCACATCACTATATTGCCGCTCCATCTCCTCTTATTGATTTCTTTTCATCCACATCCATACTGGAATTATACAAACAGACAATTTCACGGTGCAGTTGCATTGATATGGAATCACGGAATGCGGTGCCGGTTTCCCGTTTGATGCAGTTACGATAACATTCCGCCAATCGCTCTACTCTGCTGTCCACGCGTTGGAATACCGTACCTTGACCTTTCTATAGGCGCAATGTATGGGTGAATCTGGGTAAAATCTCAAAACCACAATCTAAATCGAAGCTTTTGCGCCAATACTTGATTTGATGCGTTGGGAATAATGAAAGGACTGCACTCGGCTCTAAGCCAAGATTTATCGTGGTCTTATCCAGAGATCCTACTGGAAGCCCTCATAGTCACCTGGTGGAGCGCTCAGATTTCCATCAAACTTGGAGAACGCTTTTTTCCCGCATGGTGGTCCACTCGCACGGATCCGCTTTTTTACCGTGTTGGTTTGGTAGATATCGACGGAATCCTTGGCTATGTAAGTACGCAAGAACATCAGTTTTCTCCCTAAAGCATCGAAAAAGCAATAAACTTAGGAATGCTGCCTGGTACGCTGTGCCAAATCTGCATTCAGGCATGAGGATGTTCGCTATCGCGCACTCTAAAAATTATACGTTTTGACATTAGGCTTTGAAGCAAACGATTTGTTTACATATATCGGCGAGAAAACCGTTTTGCGCCCAACATCCGGTTGGGGAGTTATGGCTGGAAAAAATGGCAAAAATCAGGTTGAGCAAAACACTTCAGTTCGGGTCGCTGTTTTTCGAATTCTGTTCAGAAGCGCCGGAAACGTAGAAGATTGCTCCTACACCTGATGAGAGCAATATTTTTAGATTATAAGTATTTATACGTTTCAAAAATGTTTTATTGTCACTTTATAATTTGCGAAAAAAGTTTCTGCTCCGGTTCGGTGTAAGAACAGTCACTTTTCTTCATAAGCCAATTACTTTTCATGCATAAAGGAATAAGGTGGGTCCTAAACCCCGACTGTAAGACCTAAGCCCAATTTTTAATACACTTGATTGCATGTAGACGCCTTGCCCTAACTCTTCAACCGGATGTTGCACGCGCATACGGTTTTCGCGGGAATGTATACAAATTATTAGGCCTTTTTCATACCAGTGGTCTGTGTATGAATAAATCGCAACAATACTGTACTGGGATGCAAAAACGCTTTGAAAATTGCATGACAATGTTTTCATGCAGCTTCACAAACTTGATGCAATGTACCGGATTATTACAAGTAAAAGTTGTACATGTAATGTAACCGCCCGATAGATTTCCGCCACAATGTCTGGTATACGGAAAAACGCAAGTCCAATATACGCACTTCCCTCCGTATATTTTGTGTTTGATTTCAAGCCAGTTTTCAGTGTGTTGCTATCTTGCTACCGACATTGCGCTTTTACGTAACCACAATCTGAGCAAATTAATCATCGGGCTTTTACTCTGTATCTGTCCTGCATGTGCTGGTACTACCACCGTGTTAAATACGAGTACATCTAAACGTTTTCGTACCTGAAGGGCGATTCTTTGACAGAAAAATAGAGGATGCTATTGGGATAAAGTGACATCCTTCTGGTCATCGCATAACGGAACCGACTGTCGAAACAACTCTTTGCCATTGCTGGACCGCATGCCCAGTGCTCAAACCCTGCAAGTTGGTTTCGCCGGAGCGTGTTGTGTGCTGACGGCGACTGCGGTGTTATTAGTATCCCTTCTTTGCTCGATAATCGTGAATCGCGAATGGAAATTGCCAGACTTCACCGCGCACGTTCCTCTGCTGCATAAAGCCCGTGGCTGGTTCCATCAGGATCCTGGGACAGCGCCAACTGATAACGACGCTGAGGCGCCGGGTTCTACTAGTTTGGAAGACAACCTGGAATCCACTAGTGCCGAAAGAATCTCGACCACAACAAACTACTGCGCTGGCGCTTTGCGCTCGCTTCGCCATGTCATCGCGGGACTGTTGTTCATCTCTCTGTTCATACTGTGGTTGTTGGTATCCATGTTGCCGCTTATTCTCGGCGTGGTGGTCGTGCGAACAGTCATCTCTAAATACGGCGTACAAGCGGTGTTTCCATGTTATGTCGTCTTCATTGTTTTGTTCGCTATTTACTCTAGCGGAAGGTTGTGGGGGCTGTGGATGACGACCGGCTATCGTGCATGGGTCTCGGAAAAGTTGCGGTAAGAACCAAATTTTACCGAACCGCCAAATACGAGAACTTCCTAATGCCATGAAATACCCGCCTTGGTCGTAAGCTCACAACGTTTCACCACGATTGTGCCGCTGTATATACAGTATATGAAAAGCTTGATTTTTGTTACCTTCACTCCGACGAAACGCAAAGCCAAATTTCGACATCCCTCTATCATTCGATTATACCACGGTTCATAAATTGTTTTAAAATGAATCAAGCCTTCAGAAAAACATTAGATTTGAACAAAGAATTCTGTATACAAAATCTATGGAAAGGAATTCCAAACATCTGTCGATAAACTTTTGGAGAGGCTAAATGCGCAGACGTTCGGTTGGACACGAACTAGTCCGACTATTTAACACCCGTGGGATTTAAGCGCTCTGTTCACACTTCACACACATTCGGGAAGCTCTCGTATTCATAACCCTCTATGGCACAGGAAAAGTAATGGTGAAAGTGTAAAATTGTCGCAGTGTTTTGCGTTTTTTTCTAGTGGCTGTGGCACCGAATTGGTCACCGACATGCCGGAGCATACCGCGGAAATACTCCTGCCGTTTGATAGAACAAGTGGGGACGCGGATGACAGCAGTGGCACTTGCGAACAAGCAGTCCTAATGCGCAGAGGAAATATCCTGCGCAACCGGTTAATAAGGAGGAATTTTGCGCTGTATCTGGGCTGTGCCGGCATGTGGCTCAGCATTCACCCTATGTACTCTGTTGTGTTTCCCGATGACCCACTGACCCTGGACAATATCGATAAGTTTGTGGAAGAGTGGCTGACGGGCAAGCGCTCTTCCTCTTGGAAGGTGAGCGCAACCGTACTTCAGTACACCCTTGTCTATCTGCTAAGCTTAGTTACCGTTTCTGCGTCACTGGTTAAGCGGAATTTAAAGGCGCTGAAGTTTAGCATCAATTTGATTGCAGTGCAAAATGAAGTATGGATATAACGCAATCTTTCTCAATTAGCTAATTTTAAATCAAAGCTAAGAGGACGCTTTCGCCACGCTGAAATTACCATACCATCGAATTTTCCGACTGGGCGGATTTTTATTTGACGTACTCTTTATTTCCATGAGAGGAGGAGGTACAATGAGTTGGTAGCGCACATATTGCAGAACGTTGAGCTGATCATTGAGGTTGACTTAATTTCAACCGTGAATGGTTGGAGCGTGGCAGTCGTTGGTTGTATTAGAGGGCAGCCATCCACGGTTGACGGGTACAAATGATTATTAATGACGGCTGACGGTTATGTCAGCCGCTAGGGGACTTGGTGTTCACCTCGGCGTTCTCAAACAAATGCGCTACTGACTCAATGTGCCTTGACCTCGTAACGTCTGTGAAGTATCAATGGAAATACCGCGTAGTAATAATTAATGTCGAAGTTCCGCTACGAATAAGTTACAGTGATTGTTGACCTTTGCACCGTTTAGGGACTGAACGATATTACGGCAAAACTCTCGTACTGGATCGATATCGGTCCTCTCTGGCAGTGGAGCACCGAAAGCGACATATTGTTCAATGTCACTTCAGTGTCGCCCGCAACGCGTGGTGCACTGGCCGCTTGGACCGCCGGGCTGAATTTTCTCGGCATTTTCCCCTTTGCCGTCTGGATGATCCTGATGCACTGCTTCATCTTTTACGTGCTTTTTTACATGGTTTTTGATTGCTGCTATAATGCGATCAGCAAGAAAGAAGGAATTGCTTACGAGGAGGAGCCTAATGCTGCCAGAACCAGGTAATGTTTACACATGAACATTACTGACGATCTTTCTCAACATGGGTGTCTTTCCATAAAGGTCAAGGGCGAAGAAGTGCTGGTGTCGTGCGTGGGTAAATGTTGCAACGTCGTTCATTGCGGCGGAGGAGTACATGCTCATGTTCGACATCCTTCCCCCGATTTTGGTGAAGTTCTGCCTGCCCGAACGATTCCAATTTCCCGCCCTTCTCGGTGTGATGACCGTGGCGGTTGTTTGGCTGTACGGGGGATTCATTCAAGCCCTGATACAACGATGGCGCTTCACACGGCAGATGCGTGCTAATGATACTCTGCGCAAAAGCTTGGCGGCACTGTACAAAGACGATGTGGAAACGTCCCTTCTGGCCGAAGATGCCGTATTGCTCTCACGCGTTCGAGGAATACCGGTTCCTTAAAGAAACTTTCGGATTGTCATATAATCATCGTAGCCGTAGCTGAGATAGTATCAAAATGGTGAAGTCTACATAATATTTATTCTGCGAGTGCTGCTTAAGTTAAGTGTTTTCTTGACATACTATGGTTGCCTTTATTTTAGCTTTATTACCTTCATTACCTTAATTTTACCTTTAGTATTATCTTTGTTTTTATGAAGTGCGCTTGCGCCAAATGTTTGGCAAGTGTCTTTAAATTTTCGATGACATTTGTAACAAGCAATCAGCCTCTCCCAGTTCGGTATCATTACTTTAATCAATTTTTTTAGCAATTCGCGGCTATCTGAACACTAAATTAAACTTTTGAGGACAGAAAATCTACTCCAGATATCCTAACAAGAGTTTACCTAGCTTCCGCCCCTTCTGATTACCTATAACTGGTATAACTGAGGCCACGTTTACCCTTTCTGTGTTCACTTGAAATTGCTGTCTGGGAAATCCAAGCTCTTTTATCGATGACGACTTAATGTGGGAAGCAGTGACGAAGTCGACACAAAGACGTCCCGTGCTAAGTGTTAGCGTCGTAGCCTCTTCTACGCGAAAGCTGTGCATCCGTCCGGACTATGTTAATAATTACGTTTTACTCGGGTGTGAAATGCCGCGCGTTTCTAGCTCTGTTGGGATTTCGGATGACACAGCAGCACGACATACAATGCTGGTTGTTGAGTCCAGCCGGTGTCAGCCGGTGGAGAAAGAGCTGGAATTCGATGAGCCACAATGCCTATGATCGTCAATAGGTTTATGGCATTTGATACAGACGTGGAAACAAAATAATGGTGTAAACCCTAAGCTAGATCGAAATTTTTAGCAATTCGTCGCTGTAGCGAACCAGGCGATGTACAGGAATTAGAATTAGCGCATTAAGCCCTATTTTTACCCGGTTTTCGTCACATGCTTCGTTACGTCCGCCAATGGCAAAGTATGCACAAGAACCTTGATGTAGATAACAGGTGACGAACAAGCTAAGCAACAATTCCGGGATTTTCTTTTTAGTTTTCTGAATTTCTGCCTAATTTCGAGGATGAAGCTCGCAGACCGATTTTTCACCCGTGTGTGCGCCCCAAACTGAATTGTACAGGTATTGTTAAAGTCAAAATGTATGAGAAATGGGAACTTTTTATTTATGAAGTAGTCTTACAAGTGTCTTGGGTATGACTTCTAATAACGTACTTCATCTAGTTTTCCTCTCATACTACTGTAACCGGAGAAGCGGCACACGTACAGCGACAATATTTTTCAAGGATTTTCAACTTTTTGCGCCCTGGTGCTGCCTACGCGGATCTTACGATGTAGCCGGGGTTCGATTCCCGCATCGGCGCCTTTTTCGGATGCATCTCGGTTTACGATGGATGGCGCTCTGCTTATACTGCCATACATTAGGGGAAATCTACTTTTCCCGCGCACAGCTGCAGCTTACACAAAGCAGCTTAGAACTGAATACGAGTACAGTTTAAAACCGGTTTCTGGCCAGATCGGCATATCCGTTGGGCAACCAAATGAGAGAGTTTTAGTGAGCGGAGAAATACGGCAGACGTGTTGCCGCAGCGCATGTAAGCAACTAATGGTAAACGACAGCTGCGGGGGGGACAAGATTTCCCCTAACGTGTGAGGGTAAATCTAGAGGACCCCTACGAAGTACGCTAACTATTATTGTGCCAGAAAAGTGTGCTAATGTAAGTAATGTTGAGTGTTTCAGTATGTTTGTATGAGATAGTACTTGTTTGAACATCTGACGCCCAGTTTTGACGAACATATGATACTCTGCACGAAACCAACTTAACGAAAGTTTCCGTGTGTGAGGACAGCAAATGGGAATGCTAAAAGCATTTATCTATCAAACGATACATTGCTTTATATCCAGAAAACACCGATTATCGAGAAATGGAATTAGTTGGACCGAACCACAAAGTTGATATCACGCGAATAAAACTGACCGAACCACAAAGCTACCTTAATATCACGCGAATATCCGACTAAAATTGATCTGCGGCTATCTAAAGCCATGCAAGCCGATCGTCTACGTCAGCAGCTGACTCTACTCACTTGCGTGTTCACGCGTTTTCCCGATAAAAAACACCACTCTTTGTAATCACAGTACCGGTTCAGATCCACCTCAATTTAAAATCTGATTCAAATTTTCAACTGACTGTGAGCTGAATCATTGCACCTGAAGAAATTTCTGACGGTCATCCGTAAGGGAGGCAGACTGAGGATAAATATAATGGGATCCAAGATGGCTTGCATGGCGAACAAGGGAATAATGATGGCTTCGGCGGCCGGATCCGCCCACAAGTTGATTGCAGACAACAGTGCGTAAAGGTTGCCCGGTGTCCATAATATCAGGGTGCTGATCGTTAGAAGCAGTAGCAAAAACATTTGGGAACGCGATAAAGCGTCTCTGGAAGAACAGCGCCATTATTTAATTATGTCCGTACAGTACCGATTTTTCAAGATTTTACGTACAGCATATACTTTCTTGATAATCTACAACTTTTATCAAAACCGTCGACTGATTGTAGATTTCGGGTTTATAATACATAAGTTGAGTGGTGCAGGTGTACAGATACCTGCCGTAATTATAAATTCCGAGATTTAAGAAATGTTGGCGCTTTGATTTCGGTTCAGTTTAGTCTTCACAGCGGTGCTGTCACCTCCAAAGCAAGATTTGAAAAAAATGGATTTTTTTTCGTTACAGAAAAAATGCAACTACATAAATGGTTGTTTGTTTCAGCCGGTCATAAGAGGTTAAAAACTTAAAGGCTGTATTTTTTTAATATGAACTATATTAGCCTGTTAACGGCAAAAACAGGAACAGGGCATCTTCAATTCTAGAAGCCTAGCTGATCCAGCAAGAGCTTCACTCACCCTATAACACCGATATCAAGCCGATTGGATTGGTCCGACGCGTTATCCGGTTTGATTGGTCGGACGCGCATGCTATGCAAACGCGATCGGCGATATTTCACATACACAACCGGAAAGCACACGGCGACCATACCGATGCAGAGCACGCACACCACATCCAGCACGAACGCCCACCATTTCTGCACCGGCTCGTTTAGGTCCACATGACAGACATCCCGTACATCGACAGCGGTGTTGATAATGAGCATGGGTAGCGTGATAATATGCGCCAACAGCCACGTTAACACGCACAATAATATCGCGTTTCGGTAGGTGTGAGTGTGTCGGTAAAACACCGGTGCGTAGATGGCCGTTATGCGGTTAAGAGCGATCAACGGATGGCAGAGCATCTGCAGGATGGCCGCTGTCCATTCTCCATAATTATACACGAAGCACAACGTCCGGCCGAGGAACCAAACCGAGCAATAAGAATTAATAAAATCCAGCAGCGCCCCGGTAAACGACTGGAGAATATTGGCACAGAATAAATTAAAGACGTACACCATAAACGGTGACCATATCGCGTGTCGACTGAGGAGGGCCAGGACGACGGTGCCGTTAGTGAGAAGGCCGGAAATGAAAACAAATAATCCAAATATGGCCGTGTTGTTCCAGGTACATTGTACAATATGAGCGTCGATCGTGGAATTGTTCATGCTCTTTTTGCAGAGAAAAAAAAGGGATCACTAATAAATTCAGTTTAACCAAATCCTTCAGATCGGACAACTCGGTACACCAGGACCAAATTGGGCGTGTTCGCAGTGTTTAATGCCTATTTAGTGATGTGTCAAAATTTAGCGCAGTCACGCTTTCCTCTCGGTTTACGTTTCAGGCTGTAAGCGTCTTAAAAATGTCCCCGTAGACTGTCGTTGTACCCGGCGTTGTCAGTAATTCGGGCTGAAACGTAGGCGTTTTTTTGAATCCCAAAGCTGAGAAAATGCAGCCTGCATGGGTCTTTGAATGGAGGAATAAGGACGCCTATAAATGTTTGCTCTAGGCTTACCCAAAGGAGCGGCAGGTAAGCCAGACTCTCACCAAGCGCCTCGCGTAATAAAATGACGAAAACAGGATATTTTCGAAGTTTATGGTCTACGCTGATTGTGAATTGTTGAGTACGCGTTAACCCTGGTGATTAGCTGAAGCCTGGAGTATATTAATTATCGTCCGCTGTGGATGACGTTAGCAGCCAATCATCCCAGTTCATCTGGTATGATCCGCTCTCTCAATCCAAAAACGCTTTACGTAGCGTGTTGATCCTTTCAGTGCGGTGACGGTGGCTAATATTATTGTTGATCCATGTTATCTGACCATCTCTGTCGCATAGGATTCGCCGATGTTGTTACTTCCGGCTTGCTTAGTACAGTGCAGCTTTCCTCTCGCTTTTTATAAAAGTTAGTCGAAATCCCATCGTAAAGCTGCTAGAACGCATTAGACAAAAAAGAAATGTGAAACGGTCAGTCTACATTTTCAACCCTTATGGAGATTACCTTCCGTAATGGTGGGCCTCACCTTAACGCGAGCCGAAGTTTCCACCGCGACAAACAGAACGAATAACCCAAAAAATATTGGCGTCGATCGATTACTAAGAAGATTAATCAAGCAGTCATTAGGAATCAAGCACTCTTATTCTGGAAGCGTGCTACATTCGGCGACTTAGCCTCAATGAAAACTTGGCAATTTTTTTTAAAACAAGTCACTCCGTAGCCGGTATGGAAAGCGTGAAATCACATCAGTAAAAATTTGGTGAAACAGCTCCATACCAGTCGTGTCAATTGTCAAAGGAAGCACGAAGGAGGATTAATTTCTTGTAAAGATTTGTTATAATTGGCTCATGATGTTCATGTGATCTGCCGGTGATATGTTCGGCTCTCGGCATGCGCAGTGCATATATGAAAGATTAATGAAGAAGCCGTGCAAGCTGAATGGGCTCCCCACTGATTTCTTAATATTAAGCCTACGTCATGCGTGGGCGATTTTAATCTACTACCTGCAGAACAAATATACACGCACGCTCACGTACAACGCAGGCTGCAGAACAGGTAGCATAATGTGGACAGATACACATTGCAAATTGAGCGTTAATTCACAATCGTTTTTTGACCTTTTTAATAAGCAATAATCATAAAATGCTGTTAGTTACCGGAAATTTTTTTAACAGCTCAACGTTGAGATACGACTCATTTTTAAAAAGAGAAGACTGGAAAGATATCATTAGGAATAATATTTAAGAGGCTATGCTGTAAGTTGGCTTGAAATTTTTCTGCGCCAATTTCGGAATATTTTTCGTGTATTCCGTTTATTTGCGATCGGACGTCGTAGGGCGGTGGCCACGCCCAACAGTTGGGCGGGTGCTGAATGGTGGAGCCGGCATCTTGGACGGGGTCTTCCCCGGTGCAGCGTTGGAGCCCGTGACTGCGTTCTCGGCGCTGGTGGTGGTCGGTTCGCTTCCAGTTGTTGGCGGAAACATCCTCTGTAGACTAATTAATTGACTGTTGTGCGCATACACTGGAGTCTATTAATTGCACTACAGCACTCTAATTTATTAGTGATCAATTAACAATATTTATTTTATTAATGATTCGCTGCAGGTAATTCCCGGATTCAATGACCAACAAAATTAAAAATCTAATTACGGATTTGATTACAAATTACAGGAAAATTTGTCGCAGTACACTTTGCGCATGGTCGATCTAAGTCGGCATACCGTAATTATCAAATTTGTATCGACCCCCATAGGGCTTATGAGCGGCTTGATAACCCCATCTCCTCGTGTCAATGGGATCATGGCGAAAGCGTCAGATCCTACTGTACTAACATTTCCGCTGTAACTAACAATAAGTCCCTTTTGTAGTGTCTTTACCATGTACTGACATTCTAACATTACTAACATTCTCGTTATAAGGATAAACTTACATTGATTTATCACTTAATTTAACATTAATTTTATAACTAACTCGTACATTCGAATCACTTGTGTAGTAGCTTCAGCATTTGGTATGTTTTCGACCGGAAGTCAGTTGATTGCATGGACAGCAGTGCCAATAGCCAACTGTAGTTTGTAGTATAAATGAAAGAGAAGTCAAACGATTCAAATGTACAATGGAAGTCAAAATTGTCTTACATTCGGTCCGGGACCGAATGACCAATAAAAATAAATGGCCAGGACCAAATGACCAATAAACAGGAAACGCGCAAGAATACGAACACTTGTTCCTGGCGCATTTCCCAGCGAAAACCATCAAGCGATATCTCAAACGAAAGGCAAAAAAATTTCAAGAATTTCGATATTAAACAGATCATCCTTCATGCGATCTCGAATAAAATCGAGCCATTTTAGTTTGTCGTAGGCAAAGCACACGATTTGTGTGTGAAAACTGAAACCAAACCGCGGATGCAAAACCTGTGCTATGTCTACGAGAAACTTTAGATGCCTCGATTGTCTCTTAGATCTTATAAAGAACAACTTTTATTTGGTATCAAAATTCTTGAAATTTTTTTCTCATTCGCTTGAGATATTGTTCGATGGTTTTCGTTGGGAAATGCGCAAGGTGTAAGTGTAAATGTCAGCAGGCCGATGGCCAGTAAAAAATTTGGCTGTTTGAGTACAGAAAAGTGCTTGGTTGCGCGCGTTTTGTGATTACATAAGTGTAAGACAATTTTGGCGTCCATTGTAGTACCATTAGTCAAATTATGTGGTGTCCTGTAGTGACTACTTTAGTGTTTTATAGTGCGGTGTAGTGGCATTAGCTTTTTTATTGTGCAGTTTTATTGAACATTAAACTGAATAACGACTGCTATGCCGTGAATTGATCGGCACATTTCCAAAATAAAGTTTGAACCCCTTAACAAGACAGACAAAAAAGTTTAGGAAACGAGAAAATTAATACCAACGCGCAAACGAATCCTCGGCTTATTTGCGATCGAACACCGTACGGCGGCGGCCACGCGGTACCGTCGGACGGGGGTTGGGTGGCGGAGCCGGTGTCTTGGGTGGCGGCGCCGGGGTCTTCGCCGGTGTCGGTTTCGCCGTCGGACCCGGTGGCTTCGGTGTCGGAGCCGGGGGTTTCGGAGTCGGTGCTGGCGGTTTCGGTGTAGGTTTCACCGTGGGCTTTGGTGGAGCTGGTGTCTTCTTGGGAGTAGACTTCGGGGGCGCCGGTGTCGGGTAGGGTGGAGGAGGCGCTCCGGTCGTGGTGGGGGCTTCGGTGTCCGGCGGTGGGGCTTCCGTGGTGGTTGGTGCTTCGGTATCTGGAGGTGGTGGCGCTTCCGTGGTGGTCGGCGCTTCAGTATCCGGAGGCGGTGGCGCTTCCGTCGGAGTAGTAGTGGGGGCCTCGGTTTCGGGAGGTGGCGATGGGGCTTCGGTGTCGGGAGGAGGCGCTTCGGTTGTGGTGGTGGTCGGTTTGCGTCTCGGTGTCGCGATGGAGACTTTGGTGGTGGTTGTGGGCGGTGGTTGGGTGGTGGTGTTCACTTCTGTGGAATATAGTATTTTATTAACAATCATTATCGAAACAACCAGTTTCGGGCAATATTTCCTCTCTCCGACGGAAAGGGAATAATTTCTTGAGTTGTATGTAGCTGCTTTTGGTACCTTTGCTGCCTTCGACCAACATGATATTCGGGAAAAGATTGATGCCGAACTCGGCGTTGAACTCATCGGTAACGTTGCTAATGGCGTCGCCTTCGTACTCGATCTTGTATTTGAGGATCTTGGTGGGTACGGGTTCTTCGCTGACCACCGTGATGCGAGGATTCTTGTAGCCATACTGGGCTGTAATTTATTAGAAGGTCGCCTTTCGATATTTACCATGCGATGGTGCCGACATTCGAAATACTGTACGAACCGAGAATCACCGTCCATATTTGCAGAATTTGCTGCAGTTTTTCATCGCGTTGCTCCTCGGTTGTGTAGCTGATGCCCAGCGTATTTAATAAACTCTGTGTGACGGTGTGCGTACCTAGATAATATTGCCGAAAAAGATAATGATGTCAAATTAGCCGATTTCTTTAATAATCGTAATATGTAATAGGGAGGTAGTTTACTTAAAGCGGTGGCGATATCCGTCAGCAGCGTAACACCGGTAACTGAATGGATTTTAAATTGCGCCGCAAACATGTCCAGCAAGACTTTATAGCTGACCTTCACCTTCTTTCCCATATAGATAATTTTGTAGGTGATAATCTTGGCCGAGCTAATCTTCTGTTGCTTTTCGTCCACATACTCCACGCGGACATCCTTGACGCCGAATTTCACTGCAAACCAAAAAAGTCAGTTCTATTATTCTAATAATTAAAAATTGACTGATTAACCAAAGAGCTTACACAGGACAAGCCTCCATACATCCAGGATCATTTTCAAGATGGTATCGCGCTGGTCTTCCGTCTCATACTTCATAATGATGGTATGGATGATGGTTTGGTTCTCGATCTTAACGTTACCTGTTAAAGGTCACATCGCATCTTTTTTATAAATTGTTGTTGGAACATTTTTTATGTGTTAATGCTATCAAATTCGCTTCTATTCAAAAGTCACAAATTTTCATAAATTTTATTGGTATTTTATTCGATATAAAAACTGTCTGTTCCGGGTATTTCTAAAGGTCACGCCACACTTGGTTGTAATTAGATTTATCTAAGTAATATTTATTCTGGATTTTTAAAAGTAAACACATATAACTATGCATTACTGATATACATTTTTTTATAATAATTTTGTCTTCATCTTTTTTTTGTATTTGAAAAATGGCCAACATGTACCGGTAAGAGAAGGACTGCCTTCCAGCAGCATGGTACCCGGGACCTTTTTAATTTGATACTGGGCCTGGAATTTCAGCTGAATGTCCTGGATGTTGATGGTCTGCAGTGTGGTGGTGAAGAGCACATCGTATGTCACCGCTTTGTAGCCTTTCATATCAGTTGGTGCGTCGCTGATGAAGTTATAGTTCACTTCTGATGCCTGATAGTAGGTCGCTGCAAGTACCCCGAATCAGATCTCAAAACTCAGTAGAACGAATTAAAGCGTTGACTAACTGAGAACGGTGCTCCACAGTTTCATGACGAGTTTCATCAGGTTTTCGCGTTGCTGCGGTGTCGCATAGCGAATCAAGATGGTGTGACGCAGGGTCTTCATGGTCGGCGGACCAACGGCGACTTTGCTGGTGCCTGTCACAAATTTATTTGACAAATGCGTTTTTTCTTGAGGAAAAATTATGAAAAAAATGTTAGTCCAATGAAAACGTTTTTTTTGCTGGAAAAACGGCAATTTTAATTTTTTTAAACCGATTTTTTAACTTGATGAATTTAAATAAAAAATTAGTCTAATAAATTTTCTCAGTTTTTTTGCGAAATAAGGTTAAGAAACTCTGATTACTGCGACTTTCGACTACTGATTCTTACTGGTTGTGGGCGTGTCTTCAGTCAGCGTCACGCCCTCAATCTTGCTGGAACTAAACTGGGTTTTGAATTTTTGCAGCACCAGTTGTGTATCGAGCTTGGGTCCAGCGAAGGAGATAGTGTACGTGACAGTCTTGGAATTAGCCGTCGCGCCGGGTTTCGCGCTGACAAATTTAATACTGACATCCGAACCCTTGAATTGCGCTACAAGCAAATTAACCGCAACATTAACAACCATACTGAAATGAAATGCAGAATTTTTCAAAAAGAAGCTTTACTGGTAATGACAATCTTCCAGATGGCCAGAATCTTCTGCAGCAGCGCATCGCGTTGTGCATCGCTGGTGTACGTCATGGTTATAGTATGGGTGATTATTCCGGTAGGTTTCTTCGCCGATACTGCGACTGCTGTCGGACATATTGACACGTTGACGGTTTTGATTGATTACGAAACTTGTGTTACGTACCGGCTTCTGTTGCTGCAAAAACAGCGCGTTTACTTGACAGGTTTGCGTCTTCGTTTTATATAATTTTAGTAAGCGAAAGAAAAAAAAGCTAAAGAATATATTCAGCAAGTACCTACCGGCTTCGGTGGCAGATTCAGTGGCGGTTTCGGTAGCAGTTTCGGTTGTGGTTTCGGTAGCAGTGTCGTTAGCGGCTTCGGTGGCGCTGTCGGTTGCCGCGTCCGTGGCTGCGTCGGCTGGTGCCTCGGTTGATTCAGCCGGTTCGCAAGGGTTGCCCTTCTCATCTGCCCACTTGGTCTGGGAGCCCGCCGCATCTTGCCCACCGGTCACGCTTTCTACACCAAAGTTTAAGAGACATGAAATACTACAGGAATAACAATAATGAAAAATAATTTATATTGCTAATGAAACTGAAATTGAATTTCGATATTAGTTAAATGCGGGGGGCACTTCACCCGCGCCGCGCCGAATTGGCACCGATGCCGGCGATCGATGGTGTGGCCGGCCAGATTGCTCACACCGCTGGCAAGCCCGATGCCGGTCCAGCCCGATGCCGGGACCGGCATCGAAGGCGTAAGTTACAATAAAAGAAAAATAGCGGCCTGAATTGCTACACACCGCCAACCTTTACGACATACAGATATAGTGAAACATCTGTACGAGTACTAAGTAAACCCTCTGTTCCTGGAGCGTCTTTCTGAATGTTACAAAGGAGTATATGTTAGGTAGGGGCACTGTTCCTAGGGACGATTAAAAAGTTGTACATGTAAAAGAACAGAGAAGTATGGTGCAGTGGCGGTATTTAATTTAAAGATGCCGTAATACATTTGTTTCAAATACCACTAAACCACTAAATATATACATGTAATTTAATAACCTCCCGGCAGCTTTCGGAGCTGTTCAAATTAAGTAGAAATTCAAACAGGTTTAAAATAATATTTGGTTAAGGTCTAAAATAAAATGTTAGATTAAATTATACTTGTACTTACTGTCATCAGGGACTTCCCGGCATTCTCCGTGCACTGCAATAACAAGCGAAATAAATAAACGAAATAAATAAACGAATAAATAAACGATTACCTTAGAAATTAAATGTAATTAAAATAATAACAAATTAAATATAAGCCATAAAACAAAAATAGTTTGGCATTGAATAAAAGAACCGCAGGAGCGATTTATAAGGACTGTTATCGGGATGACCTCATTCAGCTTAAACGTACCGCCTGCGACGCCGTACGCGCAAACACCAACCAGCAGGAAAATTAACCGCATAATAAATTTCTACAATCACTGCAGCTGATAATTCCGATCCCAGGTGAAACACCGAATGACAGCAGAAATGCGCGAAAACTCTTGTTCTTGTTGACCGCCATGGCCATTAATCCATATAATCGCTGATGGCGAAATTCTGCATACAATTATTGCGCAAACACCCGGCACTGTGTGGAGACTGAATTCAGCTTCCGTTGAGAAACCATGCTAATAAATGGTAATTAACTGCATAACTTGGCCGTTAATCGCTGCCAGGCGTAATTGTTTAACCGCATATCGAGCATCTTCGTTGTTAATAAAAAACCACAGCGTAATTTAACGCCGGGTGTTTTAATTGCGCTACAAAACCGCAGCTGCGCATTAATTAACCTAATTATCGCGACAATGTGCATCGATCTTAACGTCAGTATCAATTAATATCCGTGTCTCGATTACGTTACGTGTTAAGCGGATTATGCTTTAATAATTTTTATTCATTGTATAATGTGTTTTCTCCAGCTGTCGCTTGTGGCTGACGTGCTGCTTTTGCCAAGTGTTGCAGTTGATGCTGTTCGTTAACAAGAGGATTCGATAATAAAATTGTAAGACCATTACGAGTTACTAGCAAGTTCGCGACATCGTATTGTTGTTGTCTTCCTCGCAAAATGTGTTGTGTAATACTAGCGGAAGTCTTTATTTTCATCTGGCAAGACAAAAATCTCCCGGCGCGCCTGCTTGCATAATACCGGCACAACTTGTGTCACACCTTATACCGACATTTTGTTCCTCGGCGTAATTTGTATTCCTAGTGGAATATTACTAAAGTGGAAAATCTAATTAAAATGATATGCTGATATCTAGCAACGAAACATTGCAGTGCTTAATAATAAAGCAGTTTAACAGATATTAAGAATACCACTAAATAATAATACTTTTTGTAAATATAATTATAAAAATTTTAATGAATATATCTATTTGATGCATATATTATATTACGAGTAATTTTTATTAACTGCATAGTATTTGTCATATTAACTAATTTTAAACATCAAAACTAAATAATTTTCTTCGGTTATCTTTTGATGTGTTTAATCATTATTAAACCCGTTTTGCCGTGATCTCTCTGTATTATTAACATAATTTCTTTTGCAAAATCGTTTTAATTTAGGATCTGGCGAATTGTTTTTTAAATTTGATCCTTTTACATATTTTTCTTATACATTTTCTGTACAAATATTTTCTACAACATTGTCTTACGTTCTTAATTAAAATTTTTTAAATTGACCGGCATTTAGTTCATGGGAACCGGTACCGATTACAAACCAACTGTTTATTGCCGGCAGTTTCATGCGCTTCACCGCTGTTCAAGATCAACAGACTAATTTATTATGCGAAATATTTCTAGAAAGATTAACGGCTGTCAGCTTAACAATGCAACGCACGCAAATCAAGGGCACAAAACGCTCGTATTCAAAAGAACAGCTTATAATGTACCGAAGAGCTTTGGTCCAATCACGACAGTCTCCTTTCGATTTAGTAAAGACAAAATCAAGGTCGTTTATTACATTCTACATGGCCACGTTGTCGTGCAGACGTTTCTGTGGTGTCGATGTACTCCGCTCGCTGGCCTGGTTCCATCGCGACACCACACAACACCGGAACACCAGGCAGACCAGCAAAAATATCACAAAGGCAGTGAGCTGCAAAAACAACAAATTTAAAAAAAATGAAACAACAATCAATCGGCGAATTGCAAACGGTGAAAACTTTGTACACTGCCATCAACAACCAAAGTACTGATTCGATGTTTGCTGCAAGAACTTTTTCTTGGGCGCTGTTAAAGCCTGCCTATTTTTCATGGTTGCCCTCCAGAAATATGTGTATTTTATCTTAAATATTAAAATGCAGTGTTTAACAATTATTTATAAGACAGTATCGATTTATTAATGAACTAATGAAAATAATAATAAACAACTGCAGCAACGGATGCGAGACAAGAAAATTGAAATACAGTATTTGCATAAAGATAATCTCTGCGAAAATAACCAACTGCGTAAAAGAAACACTAAACACAATGTCAGTTAATTATCCCGTAATTTTTTTTGTGCAAAAAAGAAAGGCCCCTTAAAAATTAAAAAAATCCCAGTAATGGTTCTGGCATTTGTTAAAAAAATAAAAAATATCTTGGAAATAAAATCAATACGTGAGAAGTAAGTAAAGTGCAATCTCCATTAATAAATTATCACGTGAACCCGTTCCCTGTTTTACATCCCGTGGCAACGCTAACGGCCTTGAAATGGGAAATCTACTATTTCGATTAGCACTCCTCAGTTTGTAAATTGCACCCTAGTCAGCGCCAGGCGTTGCCATTGGGCATAAGTGGCCCGCGTTCTCGGCAACCCGGCACTCGTGCCGCACGGCCCAGCGCCACAGCTTGACTTCCGGCCAGGCGGCCGGGATCGGCACGCGTTTCGCGCTCCACTGCGCCACACTACCGCCTCGATTACGCTCCAGCTGTGATACGTGTAATGTCTCTATGAACCGGCATTCCGCCGATCATGTAGATAGTTCGTAATCAGCGGCGCCGGTTATAGCGCACTCCTCGGTCTTCAAAGATTTAATGCTTACTTACAAATCCCAGTCCAACCAGCAGACCCACCCTGCAACAATTAAACCCGGCATCGGTTAGTATGCAACGCAAGCGCAGGCGAATAATTAAGACGTCGCACACCCGATGATTACATGATTCCCTGAAGAATTGGAGATTATTTAGCAGGGTTTACACTCGAGTAATTATAGTCCGAAAGGTCATGGTACGTCATGGATTAAAAAGCGGCTAAATGGCGCTAGCAAATAATTTCCTGAAAAACTAAATAGAAATTTATTTTGTGTAATCCGCTTTCAACATATAACAAAATAAACAAACGGCTTTAAATTGATAATCTAGAGCCGGAAGAATCACTTACTGTTAGACTTTTATTTACCAAATGAAAAATCCGCTACGTCATTAAAATTATTGGAAAAATTTATAAATAGATGTAGATGTAAATTTACTTCAAGAAAATTCTGTTTTAAACTAAACCAGTCTTAAATTAATAAGCGTCAGCAGAAAACCTTAGAGACATGCATGCTTGGAAAGTGACCTCATTTTAGTAATCCGATAACCTAAGGTGTGTTGTATTTAGTTGAAAAATTTATAAGCAGTTCATTGATTTCTTGGAACATAAATAATCCGTTCTAATAATAGGTGATACTAGAAAAGCAATTTTGAGAAAGCAAACAGAAGGAATTTAGAAATTCTTTTATACTGCCTGCGATTAGAAAGGCAAGCATTATTAAGCATTCTTGCGGGACAATAACTTGGCAAAAATAGTTATGACGTAAATTTCTGCGGAGCACGATTATTATCCTCTGCTCACCCGAGTCCGGTGCTGCCGCCTCCGAATCGGTTGATAACATAATGCGTCCACCGGCAGCACTCCTTGAAGGTATCCGTACCGCAGCAGTAGGGCGGGAAGGGGGCCTTGCACATGAAGTAGTGCGACACGTACAGGCCGGTTGTCTCGTTGACGACGTGGAAACGGCAGGCCTCCTGGTCGTCGTAGCCGCGGGCGGAGCGTGCTGCGATTACCAAACATACTGTATACACAATTTATATACACTATTGTGTCAGCGTGGGTTAGCGCTATGTATACGCAAACGATTTGCATACGTTGACAGGGATGTGCCAACAGCTGAAGGCATGGTTTTCATCCCCACAAATAAGGCAAGATCGATTACGTACTTAGGCGATCGTAGCGCTTTTATTAAAAACAGATCGAGCAAGAAATGCTTTAAAGAAAAATGTATTAGCCGAAAAACAGCGCTCATAATTTTCGGTATTTAAAGAAGAATAACTGCTATCGTAGTTAACATTAAAATTACCTTGTTTTAGGTATGGGATCTGCAATCTTTAGTTTATTGAATCATGCTAAAATGATATCAAATAATAGCTGCTTTATGCGCAATTTTAGGTATAATAATGAACACTTTTACTGTTGTCTAATTTTTTATTTCAGCTTTTTTATTTTTGTAAATATTCTCTAAAAAGACTCGTGTAGTAATACGAAGCCAGCTACGCACGGCTTTCGAAACAAACAGCTTAGCAAAATTTTTCGCATAATCAATTTATCGATAATCCAGATTTTTTCCTCCGATAAACGAGGTCAATTTTCGGAGACACCATCGAACGTAAAAATTGATCCTAATAAATAATGCCAGCTACCGGCTTGATCACGCCACACCGGCGCCCTATCCGCAGCGGCCGTGATACACTAATTAGAATTGACATCACGCTTAACCGCTTCGCCATGTGTTTATCGTCGATTTGAAAAGCGCACGTCTCGTTTCAATTAACGCCAAAGCAGGAAGACGTTTTTCTGTTCTGCGCCAGGCCCTTGTATGACTGGTCCAGTATTATTCCAAGCCTTTTGTCCATCATGGCCAAATTAAATTGTTTCCGGTCGCGGGGATCGATCGGCGCACTGGCAGCCGCGTAAAATGGATCGGCTGCTGTACTGTATAATGCTGTCTTGCATATTACGGAAGCCGGGGCGCCCGTTTCGCCATTCATCCTCACTGATTAACAACGACAAAACTGTCGTCGATCAATTAAACAACGCTTCTAATCCCGGCACATTTTCTCCGACCCGGCAACGGATCATTTCCGCTGGTTAAAAACTTACGCCCCAAAATATCCCATAAAAACCGGCTGATCGGGAATTAATTGGACGATTATTTTGCTGTTAGCTGCTTGTCATTCTTCATTATGGAAATATCGCCAGCTTTTGTATTGTATATACCGGAAAAATATGACCTTTATGAAAAGTGTCGCCGTGATTAGAAAATGTTTTTAAAATGCAGTATAACGTTAACTTGAAATTTAATGCAAAAATTAAAATTTTTATCGAATTTAGTAATCGAAAAAAAAATGAATCTAGTATATTTTAATCAATATATATATATATAATAATTTATAAGCTAAATCTAAGCGCAATTATTTTGCAAGAAACCACGGTGTGCAAGATAAAAGTTTGATGTTTGAGCTAGGAAGGAATATAAATCAATATTCGGAGTATTTCTTTATTTACATAATGTTAGCTGGATAAACTATATTTTATTTGAATGCAAGGAAATCGATTGCAAAAACAATAAATGACTGTTGGCGTGACTGTACATTTAGGAAGGTCAACGCTGCGCATTGTCAGGCCGTTTATGGCTGGCGTATAATGATCCGGCTGGCGTCTGGTGTTTTCTTTTATTAGCAAAGATAAACCGGTCGATTTGTCGTTAACCCGGCAATCAAAACCGTGCCAAGCATTCGCCCGGCGCTTCCTGTCGAACGTGTGCAAGAGGCGCCCGGGCCAATGTTGAAATAATCCATTATAAACAATTTCCGGCCTAATATGTTTTCTCTCGTTCGGCCACGCGCGAAACGCGCGCTTCACGCAACACCATCATCAAAGATTTGTTTAAAAAAAGCCTTCCGATTTTCATTGCGCCTTCTATCAGCTTTTACAAAATAACAAACGCTGCATTATTTCCATAAGCACTGAGAGCATAATATTTTTAAAAATTAAGTGCCGATCCTACCTAAAAAAATCCATACACAGTGCATTCTTAAATGAGTCAACAGAAAAATAGGTACAGTGTTTTGCTGTTATCAAAACGATTTTTTTTATGGGCACAGAGATTTTTGATTATTGTAAATATTTCTAAAATAGCTTTCCAAGCCAGGAGAGCAATTCAAAGATATCCAAATAGAAAGATGTATCGCGAGTGTAGATACTAACGCAAAAACGCCAGTTGCGATGGAAAAAAGTGATACTTTTTCCGCAGCATTTTTCAAGCCATTTTCCGCAAACCAATTTTATTTTTCTGATACTGAAAAAGCAGTTTTATTTTGCTGATACTAAAAGAGCGAGTCAAAAAATTTCTAAGCACTTCTAAATATCTCCTAAAATTATTATTCAAACCAAGACATCCATGCAACGATTTCCGATCAAATTACCCACTCATGCCTCGAAAAAAGATTACAGCACGGCACTACAGAGTCAACTGGACAAAATGTACACACTGTGCATTACAAGTGCTGATTAATGGTTCATAGCGGCAACATACCGTGTGCAGCGAGGAGCAGGATAATCCCCCAGATCCCCTTACGCGCCAGTCTAATCCAAAGGGATGCCGCATGAGCCGGCACGGCTAACCAACTTATTCCGCCGATCGCCATACACACAGTCGTACCATTCAGTAGCCTGCTGCATCAATCATTAAAGACTGATCTCTTCACAACCGCAACATGATCGCCACAATCATCCCCTCGTCGCTACGCCGGGTTTTTTATATACGGACATATCCATGCCATCGATCAGCAAAACATCTACGCTTCAGTGTTTATGGTTAGATATATGTCATGCGCGGAAGGATAAAATAATCCCGGGTTTGTTTATCACGCTAGACGATCGTGGCTGCCGGCATAATGCGCATAGCGAGCGGAATGGCCACGGAAAAGCGAGTGCAGTGCGTAATCAACCCGATTAGATTGGCCAATGTTGTGGAAACATATGTGGCTCGGCTTTCTTCCTGGGTAGGAAAGACAGTTAGTGAGCGAGAGCGCGCAGCAGTGGGGATGCCAGCCCGCGCAACCGCCCGCAGCCACCTGCCACATCGGGCTAATTGTTGCACACGAGCACTGCACTCAGTCGCGGGGATACTGGAGTGCGCATATGCCGTTTCCGCCTCCAGCAACGTATAGTCACTATACACGCAGTTGCAGTCTGCACGATCGATTGATTCCCTGTTGACTGTGGAAGCGCAGTGCTCTTTGTTGGACACAACACGGGATCTCCACAATTCGTAACGCTCGTATTACGTTGTGACGTCACGGGCTGGTCCGGTTCCGGTGATAGCTTCCGATAGCCTGGAAAACCACCGAGGCCACAGAAACCGAGAAACATATGAAAACTTTTTAAACATCTGTTTAGTTGAAACTTCATTGGTGCCGTAATAATTAGGAAGTGTAAGAACTTTAAGGACTTCGAATTCTAAAAACCTGAGCATACGAAAACATAAAAATTACTAATCCTAAGAAGCCTATGAGTCCCGAAAATCATCCAGAAATCTAATAAAATTTTTGCTCTTGGCATAATTTCAGTGCAGCGATTTCTATTTTGGGTGCAAAAACCAGTAACCGTTTCCAACTTATTCGGGAAAAGTTTACTGCCAGTGTTATAAGGCATAGCTATTTAAAAAAGATTTTCGCGATGTTGTAATTTAAAGCATTATGTTGTTATTTCATTCAGTTATTCGGCAGGAACGCGGTGAAATGTACGGTCAATCTGCTGAACTCTGAACGTCAAGTTGCCGGTTTAGTTGAGTACGTACACACTCCAAGTACACAGAGTAAGAGAGTGCGCATGGTACAACCCTGGATAAGCGCAATCTTGAAGAGGATTGCTACTGTACGGCGCAGTGAGTGCACCGTTACAAGCCATCATTTGTGAGTATGGAGGAACAAGAGGGGATAATTGCATATCGACTGCTGCTGTTTTCTACCCGGCAGCGTCAAGGGCACTCGTACTCGAGTGCCTCCCATCGGTTGGCCTCTCTCCCCCACCGGGCACAATCACGGGATCTGCGTAATCGAGCCACGTCCAGGCTTTACAGTGCAAAAACTTTTCACAGGTTAACTACGCCTGTTGATGTCAGTTTTGCTTCATTCCGCCTGACATTTCTACAATACCGATACAGTTTTTGCCTTTTTGGTAATGCACAAATATTCCGCCTCACTAACAAAAAATAATTGACTGGGACAGTGTAAGCTTTTCTAAGTACAATAACCCAAAATCACATGTCGCGGAAAGGAATTATGTCTTTAATTATCAACGGTACCACACATGACAATTTATCACGCTAATGAGCAAATGTACAGAGTACGTAAAACATTTTGTCGAGGATGGCCACTGAATGCACAGCAACATTAAAAACACTGTTTAAACTTTGACTGTAAACGCGGTATATTAAACTGCCTATGTCTACAGTATGCGATAGGCTACCTTGCATAATCCGTGATGAACAGAAGAATCAGTTACTCTGTACGTTTACAATGTTTGACATGAGAACGCTTTATCAGTCTGGGTGTTGTTTGTTTTTCGGTTACGGCGCGCGATGCCTTCTGTGGCAGTTGGTGTTTGGTCAAGCACAAATCCTGCTCATTCAAAACGTTGTGAAATCTGTCAATACGCAAAAGACTGCTGCCTTCTTATTATTTGTCATATCCACATAAACCGTCATCTGCAGAGTATTTTCCTAGTGGACCACGTCGTTTGTAGGCATTTTTCGAGAACTGCGAGATATACAACGATTTGCTTCATCCCGAAAATGCGGAGCGATCGAATACGGATGATATTGGGGGCAGTACATATTATTTACGGGTTTTGCTTTATTGCGCTGCAGATTATTGGTAAGAAAGATGTAAAGTACAGCATTTTTGTGGACGCATGATTTAAAAAAAAATAATGTTAAGATTAAGGTCACCCTTAACAAAACAAAACGAAAAAAACGGTAATCAAGCGTAGTTACCAAATTGACTAAACTAAAAATCCAAAAATGAATAATTTCAAAAGTGACCTTTATAAACGTAGACTAAAGGCGACTTTCTCGCTCCCGGCTTTGGTTTTTACCGTTGATTTAGTCATAATATTCGGGAAAACATTTCTAATGAAATCCGAACCTTTAAGAAAAACATCTTTTTCGCAGTGGAAATTACCAGCGCGGCGTTTTACACGCAGAACACGGCCGAGGACTTTTTCAAAGCCGGCTTCGCGTTGGGCGGCATGGACTGGATCCTGGCCGCGGTTACCTTGGTGATATTCTGTCGGGATAAAGACAGCCGCGGTCTGCGGGTGGCCGAGATGATCCTGACTATTTTGTACACGTTGCTCCTCATCTGCTACTTGGGCATTCGGTTTCAATGGTTTGTGGAGGATCCCGATTGGACGGACAATTTCACGGACTGCCACTTTATGCCGACATGGCCCAAGTACTACCTGTGGAACCGGCCGCCCCACTGCAGTGCCTACTGGATTAAAGCGCATATCATGTGGATCACCATCGGGATTGCACTGGCCGATCTGATCACATGCTTTGCCGGGCTGGTCATGGTGCGGGTGGTCAGCAACGCTCAGGAGCGCAATAAAATCTAAGCAATTGGTCTAACCAAGCCGCCCTATCGATCAAATAATTGCGGTTGTATGCAATAAGCGAAATCTCTAATCAAGATCTGACGTAATATTGTACTGTAATTTTATTTTAATTGGGTAAATCGTTACCGTGCAGCTTTTATTGAACCGTTTTATAAACCTCAAAAGTGGGGTTTTTTTGCAGTGTTGTTGATGTGATTGCAAGGTTGCCGTTAACTGAGTTGCATTTGCGTTTGATTTTGCTTGTAGATCAGACTGTTTACAAAATCTATTAAAAATCACAAAAAACTTACCGCTAAATTTTATCGAGTTTTTATTTATAATTGCCGCAATTTTGACATTTTTTCCGTGATTAAATTTCTATCGATCTAATTAGCTTAAATCTAGATACGCAAGCGTATCGATAGGCGTACTGGCTATTGCGGCATTGCCCAAATTAAATTGTTCGTACTCGTATAATATTAATGGCTGATTTTATATTTTAATTAATTATCTAAATCGGCATTATTCATATTGCGAGAGCGCGGTTTAAACGAACGCTTACGGTGATTTACTGGCTTCGTACTTAATAGCGGGCATTTAATGGAGAAAATCAAACACTCGATATTCCGTGCAGCGTTATCTCTCTTGCAACACCGTTTATCAGTCTGGTCATTATTAGACTTTCGTGCTAACGCCGTGCGATACGCTTGTTCGCCCGGTGTTGATCAACACTAATCAGCACCCGTGCCGGCTGTGATCGGTTATATGCAAAGCCTGCTCGTTTGTACTGTTCAGCAGTCGAGGATTTCTGCTCTAATTATTGTGAATTGCACAGGCTTAATATTTACTTGCAGCGTCCTGTTTTTCTACAATATTACGAAAATGAAGACCGATCGAATGCGCATGGTTCTGGGACCTCTGCATATTATTTTTGGATTTTGCTTCATCTCCTTGCAGATAATCGGTAAGGTACTATGAAGCGTTAGAGGCCCAAAAATCCAGAAAAAATATGCAGAAAACAATCACTAATTTGGTCAGTTTTTTTTAAAATTTATTCTTTTACGGCCGTTTGCTGCTTTTCGTATGCTTTGACGCCCACGAACATTTAGTTTTATGCAAAGTTGCAACAGCTGAGTACTTGGAAGCTAATAAATTAATTCAATTTGCTTCGCAGTTGAAATGCTTTTGCTGCATGCAGTACGTTAGAAACACTCAGCTGCTGCAACATAGCACGTGGCTACCTGAATAACGCCCGGTGACGAAAGGCACCAGTTGCATTCAGTCATTTTTTATTTCATTATTATTTTACTGTACTATTATTAGTAATCCAGCTTCCGTGTGCTGAGCTCTGGAATAAAATTTCTCCACGGTTAAATTATTGAAGTTTGCTAATACATTCTTTAATTATGTGCACCAGTGCGGATAATAATTTTGTGTGATGAACGTTTTTTTTAATAAAGCGAAACAGGAATTACGCTTCCAGTACGCAAAACACTGATGTATAATAAATTAATTTTCACAGCGGAGGTTGCCAGCTCCGCATTTTACACGAAGAACACCGCCGAGGACTTCTTCAAAGCCGGTTTCGCGTTGGGTGCGCTTGACTGGATTTTGGCGGTGATCACCCTGGTTATATACTGCCGGGACAAAGACAGCCGCGGTCTGCGCGTGGCGGAACTGTTCGTGACCATATTCTACGCGCTGCTGATCGTCTGCTACCTGGCCATCCGCTTCAGCTGGTTCGTTGACGACCCGGATTTTTCCGACAACTTCACGGACTGCCACAACATGCCCATGTGGCCGCGCTACTATCTGTGGAACCGACCGCCCCACTGCAGCGCCTACTGGATCAAGGCGCACATTATGTGGTTAACATTGGGGCTCGCCATGGCTGACCTTATCACCTGCTTGGCCGGGTTGGTACTGGTGCGCATGGTCAATAATGCACAGGAGAGGAACAAAATTTGACCGATAAGATGAATGTTTTGTGGGAGCGAACTGGGTTCTAATTGTGTGCTTTGATCTGTGTATACGAACAGTTTACCATCGCTTTGAATTTTGACCATGCACGGAAAATACGAGCATTATTCATTTCCAGTTATATCTCCTGGTAGAATTCCCCAATTCCGTGAGTAAAGACGTGTAGCTTAGGTTTTCGTCAAATGTTGTAGCATTGAGAAAAAAACTATTCATCAATACTTCTATAGTTTTTATGATTTCGTTGCTGGTTACACTGTGGGTAATATAAAACAGAACCGCTCAGACGATAACAAAAAATCTCTGTAAGCTTATCCACTCCATCCATGGTGCCCAGTACTGACGCCGCGTTCCCCCGTTGAATCTCAATCGATCTCAATCGACAAGCGCTGTCGATGAAATTCGTGCGAGCGTACTTCTCCTGTTTATTGTCGCAGTCTTTTAGCCAGCTCCTTGATGATGGCGATGGCCGCCGCTCCCCAAGGGCCAAGCGTTTCATCAGTCCACTGTGAGACTGTGCAGATAGCACCATGAATTCAAACTTCGTAATGGTAGAAGTATAGTCCACAGGCTTTCAGTATTTCAATAACCCGTTTGGCGATGACGGATGAACGGGCATCACGAGTGCGAGCAAACACACCTCACCTTGGGCGTGAGTTAACATGTTGTGTTATTATTGGTATTATTATTGCAACAACAGTAGCCAAACTCAGTAAACAAAGACTTTTTACACTTAGGTGAAACTTCCAGTACTTCCGTTTCATCTGTTGCTTCTGTTGCTAATATTTCCATTTCTTTCGTGCTATCGGCTCGTAAGATAAATGCTGCTTTCACGAAATTCGAGGTCAGGGTGACCTATATTTAACAGGTTAATCGCCTCCGCTCGAAAATTCGGCCCAATTTTCGAGCGGAGTGTCCTTGCACTTTACCGTGTTCAGCAAATTAGTAGATTGTAGTCGCACGCCGAAAAAGGCTTACGATAGACGGTACGATATACGATAGGCTCTTTCACGTCATCAGAGCGTACCCTTACCGGACCGTTTGACGATAGGATTGACGGTAAAAGGCTCAGATATCGTCAAGCATACCGTTGTGCTCTGCGATATAGCAACCACTCGCGGTGGCGGTGGCCTCCATAACTACGGCTGCAGTTGCCAAAACTCGAAAGTTTTGAATAGCTAGAGTAAGCTCTAAGTATTCTTGATTAACCAGCACAGTAAATCAAAAGAAGGACAAAATTATTTGAAGTTTTTTGATACTAAGTGGAAGCGGTTTGTCAAAAGATTCACGATTCTGCAGCCATTTGCGTTTACCATGCTAAGCTTACGGAGCAGTTGGAGTACTCTGCGCGAGCTGCTCACTCAGACTCCGTAGATTCCTGTGTTAATTACAAATGCTGATAGAAAGGTTCATTGGCGCTCAAATGTAAACGTTTTGGTATCAAAAAAAAAATTTGGAATTTTAGTTTTCATTTGACTTACAGTGGAACGCAGTTTATTACATACAGAACTTCCAATGCTGATTGAAACTTCACACGTTTCACTACGAAGGCAAGAATCGACCGTATCGTATACCGTTTGTGGGCTACGATGACTGCGATCACTGTACTGTGCTGACGATATGGTCACGATACGGTGTTCCACCGTATCGTTTACCGGACCGTATATCGTGGCGGTGTGGCGACAACAATCTACTCACTCAACAAATACTTACAAAGGCTCAACTACGAACTCAACAAAGACGCCAGGTCGACAGATACGTAATGCGGCACAAGGGTGGTTTGCTCGGTTAGGTGAGCCGCATAGTAAAAAGTGCGGATCAGCCAATGGATCACCAGCCGCCCCATGTGGCGCACTACATACATGCTGATTGATTTATATTGTATGTTGGGTGATTAGTGTGCTGAATGTGCTGAACCGTAAAGCACAAGTGAAGTCCAATTTGCAAGGGGAACCGAAGTATTTACAAGCCCGCCTCAGAAACGTGTGAAGAGAAACAATTAATATTAAACGCACATAAGGCTCGTACAATAGCATACGAAGTAGCTGCTCAAGTTCTAAGCGAATTTGGCTTTGGTATGGTTGCTGAACCGCACGAGGGGGTATACGATACGCGTTGCCACCTCTCGAGGAGTTAGTGCTTCATCGTAAGGCGCGATTCAAGTATTACGTAGCGGAAATTTTCCACTTTTTCGACCACCCCCCACCCTTTTGTGACCTTTATCCATGTATTACTTATGGGCGGGTAACGCCAGCCGACCCACCCCCCACCCCCTGAGCCGTTACGTAATACTTGAATCGCGCCTAAGTGTATTTGTTTGGAACCCTAAGACCCGCCCTATATCGTTTACATACTCAATAACGTACGCAGAAATGCATTGGCTATAGCATAGCGTGTCTATAACTGTAGAATTTTGTTTGGGCAAGCCCTTACTGGCGCCATACGCACCATCGACGAAACGATCCGGAAACATCGACTTTATTGGCGATGTTGTCCCCACAAAAACTAACCAAGACTTGGAAAAGGTCACCTAATTCTGACTGCCAGCCCCCAGAGCTCTAATATCATCTGGGGTGGTGAAGCAAAAGACAAAAAATTCATTTTTGTATTCTGATGCGGTCATGCTTGCTTGATTGCTATAATAAGATGATAATGAAGGCATACCAATGGAATCTCGTCCGTGCGGTAATGTTATCGCTGGTTTTATTTGAATTATTGCCATCGTGGAGTTCATATCATGCATATGGTTCGTGAGTAAACAAAACAGGAGCAAACCCTGGAATGCAGTTAGATAACGCATTTTACAAACATCAAGTAATTGTAGCACAATTTTAACAGTGATTAGTAGCGGCCCAGCGCTTAGCAGCGAGTCAGAATCTAGCATAACTGCAATACACCATCAGGAGCACGGATTCGTTTAGTGTTAAATAGTGAATCGCATGGTTTTTGGTGAAAGTTTCAGATTTTGTTATTTATTTTCGTAATTTTTGAATGATCTGTTCTTAAATTATGAGTAGTGCGATGTTGCGAAGTTTCGTTCTTTTGACATTTTTTCCTTATGTCTTCTGCATCATTGGAGGCTATGAGGTTCAGTCATGGAAAGAATATTCCTTCATGGCTAAGTTGTTTGCAAACATGTCTTTTAAATGTAGTGGAATTATTATTGATCCGTCTTTTGTGCTTACGGCTGCTCAGTGCTTGTGTGATCGAACGTTCCCCATGCGGTAAGCTATGATTTATACAGCAGCTGACTGTTGCTTAAGATGCAATAGCTTAACACTAAGAGGAGTCCTATAACCTGTACATTCGGTGCGAATGTCAAATGATTCTAAGTAACACATTAAATTTTTAACTTTAAATACTGCTGAATACTCGATATCCAGTTCGTTGTTTACTAAGCGGCATACTTCGAATTCTTAAGGTGGAAAAGTTACTTTTTTGAAAATGCTGAAACATCCTAATGTTGTGGGTTCTAGAAAGAAAATATCTATAGCCCCGGCATATTATGCATGGCGCGGGACAGATGTGAACGTCGAACAACTGCGTGCGATATCACAGGTGCACTTCCATCCAGGATTTAGCTGTGACAGCTCCATTTACGGAGTACCAGTCGATAACGTTGCGTTACTGGAGCTAGCTGCCCCTATTCCAAACGAGATAAGCTACCCGATAAACTGCCGACATGTTCCGTGGGACTCCGTGTCGTCCAAGGATGTGGAAGTGGCGGGATGGGGAAAAATAGGTTATCTGTACTATCTGGAAAAAGATAACTGAGTAGATTATTTTGTTGCTTGCAGTAAAACTCTATAATTATTATTACCGCACTGCATGCTGCAGATGAAAAACTAACTCGCTTCAAAAAACAGGCCAGTTTCTGCGGGTGCAGTAGATTACAGCTAGAATATAGGTTCTTGAATATTTCAGTACCAGAAAGCTATTGAATATGAAATACCGTGGCAATATGAATTACGAGGGAAGCATCCGGGTTCGTCATCAATTTTTGTGTGCTCATGGTCTTTATTTACTTTTGGAAATCCCCATCCGGACAGGATGCCCTGTACTGGTGCTCACTTGTCAGATAGCCCGCGCGTTCACGCACTTTGCACGCGCTTCCGGTCAGCTTCTCCAGCTCCCCCACACTCGGCTACGGTTTGCGCAGGAAGCGTAGTAGATTTTTATCCTACCTAGTGATAAAATTTCAATTTTAGAGAAGTATTGAAATATCCTGACACTACTGGTAACCAGCATTCAAAAGTGGCAGTACATTTTGGGCCACCTGCAATATCTATGATAGTCACTGTCGAACCAGGTAAACTCACTCGAAATTTCAGCTACGCTAATGCTAACATCCTATATTATTCCTTCAAATATTAAACATAGGAAATTGATATAGGCATCCCCTTTCACCTCAGATATCTATAGGCACCCCTGTCGCACCCAATTAGACTATAGGCACCCGTTTTCGATTAATAAATCCCTGCATCCCGTCGCGTGCGAAAGCTATGTATAGGCACCCTCTTAATGTCCGCTGATGTGTTTTAAGGTCGAATTTTTTTGACCGTAGAGAATTCTCAGATAGTCGCTGCACTACCGGCTCCAGAATTTTCTCTCTTGTAATATATCTGGGTTCTGCAGCAGAGACGGCTCTGTACGTAATAATGATGTCGGACACTTCCGTAATAAGTATCCCATCCTGCTTTCAAACAGTATCCAAGAATAAGTATCCCATCCTGCTTTCAAACAGTATCCAAGAAGTACGTTCCCAAGAGATACGTCAGTCTTCGGTGAAAAATAAAAAAGTCGGTGCCTGTGGTCCGCGGTAAAGCGGGGTGCCTATAGGCTATAGTATCTATTAAAAAGAGGCTGCCTATAGCAAAACATGGTGCAAAAGGGGGTGAGTGTGGACTAACCCTTAATTGTAAGAATAAGAGAAGAACGATAGCGTTCGGAAAAAATACGTACATAACAATTCTGGGTGCAGGAATGCGTACGTACATATAAGGGGGATGTCATTGGCTCACCTAGATAATCCCTGTACTTGCTGCCGTCAGCCGGCTGGTGGCTAGACGTTGTGACGTTGTGGCTAGACATGATGCTTATGTATCGCACCAGATTTAGCCATACAGCTAGGACGAACTGGTCGCATACCCAACTTCTCCACATTCACTACGCATGCAGTGCAGTGCACTGTGCGACTGAGTTCAAAATATCCGTTTGGTACAAGTGCACTGCACCGCTTGCGTGCAGAATGCTGGGTATGGGGCTATGTGACCATTAATTTAGTCCATATGTTTAAGTGAAATTGAACCTTGATATTGTTATCGCGTTATGGAAATTAAAGATGCCTATTCGGTATTTAGATCTACATTGTATGTATTTGCCGTAAAGTCCCACTCCAGGCGGGTGACGGCAGCAAGTACAGGGATTATTTAGATGCGCTAGTAACGTATCGTATGTACATAATAATTCGGTCTGCCAGTAATTATGTTGAGCATCGCCTTACGGCTTAAACTTAAAGTTTGCTTCTTCGCAGATATTGCTACTGGAAGCCCAGCCTTGCGTGCAGTCAAAGTAGATTTGATGCCCCTCAGTGAGTGCCGTATTGCTGTTCATAATGACCAATTAAAAAAGTCGGATGAGGTCGATTTCGATTATTTTGATGAGCTGAATTACTATGAGCGAAGACAAATCTGTGACAACGGATCGAAGAATGGCCTTCCTGCTGGTTCGGCACAGGTTGGTACATCTGCTGCTTTTGGGATAATTTAGACTCACACCCAAACATACAAAAGATAATGCAGCGATATCAAGCGCTGATTGGTGACTTTCGCAATGTGATAAAATGCCGACACAAATAAGAACAAATTTCAGGTATTCATTTTATGGACATAACTGTATGCGAACCGGCTCAAAAGCATCATCAGTTTCACGGTGTAGTGTGGTCTTTTTGAGATATTCTAGTAAAATCCGAAAATTATGGAAGCGCCGCCAGCATTGTTCGATTTATGAAACATCTTAGTAACTACTACAAGCTGCACGTACTAGGATTTTGGAAACTTGGACAATTTCCAAAACGTTTGAGCTTATGTCATAGGGTGATTCCGGGGGCCCAGTCATATTGAGACTGCCTGGAAAGGAACCTATGTTGCTCGGAGTGATTTCCGGATCATTATAGTACGGTGGCAATTTGACATCCACGTTGCCAATCGTGTTTGAGGGCGTATATATGTTGTTTTTGCAGTGAGCCAACCGGAGAACAAGAACATCTTGGTGTAAACCTGAACATTAGCTTTTATATAGACTGGATTACAGACGTAATCGCGCTCGAATATGATACCAAAGCTCGCGTTGTGGGGAATGGCACTATGTCCGACCATGGAATATCAACCAGTCTGCACATCAATAATTCCGCAGGTACTGTATGCCAGACCGAAAACCACAGCAGTAACGGTTTATTACAAGGATATTCCTATCCAAGTTAGAGATGATGCTATCATATGAATCATCCTTATTGCTGGAAAAGATGAAATAATAAAAAATATATATGCTGGGTGTGTACCCGGGAAAACCGTCCGGATAACAAACTTTCCGCAGAACGCTTTTGCCCTACCCGCATGAAATTATACCATCAAATATGTTTTAGCAAAATCAACGAAGTAGAGATTCTGGATAATAGCCAAGTTTACGGACATTAATTGAAAAAAATAGGGACCTACTTATTCCGACTTATTAACGCACTCCTTGCAATAACTAGGAAAGTGCATTCGCTTTTTGCGGGCACTGCATGACCGAAGCGTAGCGGGACAGCATAGGTGTAATTGTATATTAAAGGCAAGGTTGTCTGAGACCCCCTTTTATTCTATTCTGTGGTTCTTCAATTTTTCATTTCTCTCAATCCGGTTGGCAGAATTTTAATGCGAAGACAAGTGGAATCATGGCTTTTGGTTTAGTCAACATTTACATAGAACTTGTGAATACTTGTTAAGATAACGGCAAAAAATCAAAACGTATAGTCGTATACGGCTTCTCGTGAATAAATTAATTCCGGCTTGAGTGCAGTGCTTGCTCACCGCGAAAAAATGTACATATGCACGGTAGACATATATACATGCACGGTACATAAAATCTTATGCACGGTACATTTGTACAGTCCGTTTTTTTAATTTTTGGCTCAATTACTGTAGCGAGTGTGATTGTATCTGCACGCGCACTGTGCTTGTTGTACTTCTTAACAAGTATTCACAAGTTCTATGTAAAAGTTGACCCAACCAAAAGCCATGATTCCACTTGTCTTCGCATTAAAATTCTGCCAACCGAGACATTCTACTATCCGCTGCACGATGATTTTTAATCTAAATGGATGTACAGAGTACTGTATGTGAACGCACAGAGCCGAGACATTCTCATACTCTGTAAGGCTGTGTGTAAGCCACACCCCTTATTTTCACCTCTAACAGGGGCTATTCGAGACCCCCATCGACCATGTACTATTTTTTTAAGGCGAATCTGACCACGTATTAATGATCAGCGAATTTTTCTGATCTAGAAAGTATTTTTTAAAATTTTTGTCGGAGCAAAAAAATTCTGACTGCCAGCCCCCTGAGCGCCCCACGGTATCCTGGGCGGTAGCAATGGGATCGAGGGCAAAAATTTTACTTTCATGTTTTTTTCACTGTTTCTAGGTAAACCAATAATCCTGAATTCGAATTTGATGTTAAAAATATAATATGAGCTAAAAATAAAAAGATTTACGTAAAACAAACAAGTTTTGACACAATTGATGTAACATCGATTATCGACACCCTTCTCAGCAAAAAGTTCTTCCACACTGTTTCTATCAATTTTTTAACATCAAATTCGAATTCAGCGTTATTGATTTATCTAGAAACAGTGAAAACAACACGAAAGTAAAATTTTTTCCCTTGATCCCATTGCTACCGCCCAGGATACTGTGGGAGGCTTACGGACCTGGGAGTCAGAATTTTTTTGTTCCGAAAAAAATTTTAAAAAAATACTTTCTAGATCAGAAAAATTCGCTGATCATTAATACGTGGTCAGATTCGGCTTAAAAAAATAGTACATGGTCGATGGTGGTCTCGAATAGCCCCTGACCTCTAAACAAAAATATGAGAATATTGTTCGCCCCAAGGATGTTCAGTAGTACGTGTTGTGTACTGTAATTTGCTTTTTCTTTGTGTGAAACTTCTCTCCAACATGCATCCTCCGTTCCAGGCTTTCGGAATGTTACAGAGGGGTGTATGTTATACAGAAGCACTACCCCCAGGGGCACTGCCCTCAGGGGCTCAGGGACACAGCCCCCGTGGGTGTTCCTTAACAAAAAAACTAACAAAATATCAGAGTATGGACATTATGCGGTCTGAATGTTGGTTTTGCTGCCCTTTTGTATGCTTGGAGTTGGAAGATCCGGTACTAAACAGATTAAAAACAGAAGCCGGAAATTTCTTTAGAGACACCGAAATGGTTGTTTCCCCAGCCTAGCCAACCGTATGTTACGCAGGGGTTGAATAAGCTGGTAAAAATGTTACCGGTTCCATAAAAGGTGTATGTTATAGCTGTAAAGAGATGAATGTTATACATAGAACTTCCCCTGTGTTATAGTCTACCGGACGGTTTGGTTCCCAGCCTCATGCATGCAGTAAGGGGGTGAATGTTATAGGAAGGTGAATGTTAAGAGGAGTTTCACAGTATTTACCTTTCAAACTGCTGCTCGAAATTACTCACGGCGCGAAAACGTATTAAGGGAAGTGGCCCGGTACATGGTACCGGGCCACTTCCCTTAATTCGTGTACACGATTTTTTTCAAATTTTAAAATAAATTTTAAAATTTTTGAAATTGATTTTAAAATTTGAAAAACATGCTAGAACAGTGGAACAAAAGTCTCATTATGGACCGATCTCTTTCAGATTTTGCACGTAAATGCACATAACCACGAAGAACGTTTTTACACTTCATTAAATTCGTGTACATGCACGAAATCATTCACTTTCGCGCACTCCTAAACCCTTTTTTCTCGTGTTTTATGACAATCTGTAGTCAAATGATTTGTATACACAGGCCTGAAAACCGTTTGCGCGCGCAACATCCGGTTCGCGAGTTATGGCCGTTAGAAAATTCCAAAAAGTTAAATGCATTCAGGTGTACCAAAAGTCTCATTATGGACCGATCTTTTTCAGATTTTGCACGTAAATGCACATAACCACGAAGAACGTTTTTACACCGATCCACTGTTCTAGCATGTTTTTCAAATTTTAAAATGAATTTCAAAAATTTTAAAATTCATTTTAAAATTTGAAAAAAACCGTGGAAGTCTGGATCGGTGTAAAAACGATCTTCATGGCCATGTGCATTTACATGCAAAATTTGAAGGAGATCGGTACATAATGAGACTTTTGGTACACCTGAAAGCATTTATACTTTTGGGAATTTTCTTACAGCCATAACTCCCGAACCGGATGTTGCGCGCGCAAACGGTCTTCAGGCCTGTGTATACAAATCATTTGACTACAGAATGTCATAAAACAAGAGAAAAAAGGGTTTGGGAGTGCGCGAAAGTGAAAGATTTCGTGCATGTACACGAATTTGGTACCATGTATCGGGCCACTTCCCTTAAGTGCAGTATGTATGTATTAAAAATATTTAATAAGAAACGAACTGTACACGGTACATATGGACGGTGCTCGGTGTTTGCCGCTAGGTATACGGTCCGGAATGCTGGATGTCGTAACGTCTTTGATAGTATTAAAGGGCCACCGACGGATCTAAAAAGCAGCATTGCCGTATTTCACCTTCAGTCCTTGTCATCTTCAGAAAAACTCAGGTGTATTGATGCTCGCAGATTGTGCTAACCATTTTAAAAATGGTAAGAAAAAAACATCGTCTAGGGCTGGTAAAAACGTTCCCCCGGACGTTTTTTCAGTGCTCCACGGACAACTGCACCAAAATGGTAATCTTTTAATAGTATTAGTGACATAAATTATTTGCACGCGAAAGCTGGCTTTTAAGGAAGTCAGTGACCTTTAACAAAATGTTACCGGCAATAAAAAACAAAAATTCACAACAAATTCCTTAGCCAACGTTCCCGTGAATGTGTAGTGAAGGAGACCGACGCACATACACCAAGATTTGCATGTGGCTTGAGTATATACGGCTACCGTGCATGTGTGCATCTGGTAACAAATACCACCGTGCATACGTACATTTGATGGCAGTGACCGTCGCACAGACAACGCGATTCACAGTTACCTTAAATATATACGGCCAGCGTGCATCCTGTAACGGATACCACATGTAAAGCGTTTTATCAGATACGGTAACTCTTCGGATAAGACGTGTGTTGTCTAAAAGGAAGCCCATGCGAAGCAGCACAATGTGTTTAGGGATTGCAGGAAATTTCAAGCGTGGCCGGACGGTGCTGCCTGTTTTTGCTTTAACGAGAAAAGTCTGCAGTGAATAGTGCTTACGATGTTAACGATTGCAGTGATAGCTCCCGTCGCACTTGGATGTGGCGTCTTCCTGATAGTTATAATTGCGGCGTCTTTGTACTGTCGCAGAAAGGCTAAAATGAAAGCTTCTAGACTGCAGACGCAAAGGGATGCTTTTGCCGAAGAGGTACGTATAACTAACCAGTAAAGTTGAAATCAGCGCATATTGACCAAAATATGAGACTTATACCACCTTGTAGTAAAAAATCTGCAGTATTTGGATAAATTTTTTGTTTTCCGGTAAGTATTACTAATTTTGTGTAATAACCATCTAAACCAAGTATGGGAAAGCGTTCGGTGACGTCTACGCGCGCACATCAAAGATGCCGCCCATCGCGCACCTGAGATACCGATCTTCACTCTGATCTTGAGCGCTGGCCTGCCTATACGGCAGGTGCGTTAGCGATAAAAGAATAATTTTTATTCGCTAATTTTCGTTTTACATAGGGCGCCGACACATTAATAATATTTTCACAAGTTTTTAAGTTTAGAAATCTTCGAATTGCAGTTACTCTGGTTCTACGAACCAGAATCAAAAATTATGCCGTTCAGTGCTCAGAAGATACAGCTGACTTCACTTCAGCTCGCACTGAATCAGCGGATATGATCTGCCAACAGATAACCATGCGATGCAGCATATCCGCGATCAGCATTAGAGATGATCCTTATCAAAGGTGCGCGATGGGCGGCATATTTGGGTCGGCCAACTTCGCCCGTTTGCAACTTTACCTTTACCTTTGCCTTGGCCGTCGGAAAAGCCGTTAGCGATCCAATTTGCCGTTTCAGAACGCCGTCTGTAAAAGCCTTTGCCGTTTGGAAAACAAATTACCGTTAGCACATTGCCATTTCTAAACTTTTTCTGCGCGTTTCCGGTTTCACGGCTTTTCACATTATTCTGCATACGTGGTGCACAGACCGCGAAAGTTTTAAAGCTTTTGATATTTTGTTTCTGTATACACCGCCCTAATTAAGTTTCAAGGTGCGCAACAATGGTAGAAAATGATACCGTAACAATATATACAGCATAATCATTACCGTAGTCCAGAAAATGGTTAAGCTAAAATTATCGGCACACCAACAACATTATCTACACACTTATAAGTGTACAATGTTAGATTGTAAGCTTAAGCTTATTATCTTACGAAACAACATATCAAAAGCTTTAAAACTTTCGCGGACTTTGCACATAACGTATGCAGAATAATGTGAAAAGCCGTGAAACCGGAAACGCGCAGAAAAAGTTTAGAAATGGCAATGTGCTAACGGTAATTTGTTTTCCAAACGGCAAAGGCTTTTACAGACGGCGCTCTGAAACGGCAAATTGGAACGCTAACGGCTTTTCCGACGACAAAGGCAAAGGTAAAGGTAAAGTTGCAAACGGCAAACTGAAACGGCAAAGGCAAATGGACGGCAAAGGCGAAGTTGGCCGACCCGCATATTTGATGTGCGTGCGTAGACGTCACCGAACGTTTCTCCCATACTTACTTTGGATGATTATTACACAAAATTAGTAATACTTACCGGAAAACAAAAAACTTATTTAAATACTGCAGATTTTATACTACAAGGTCTCATGTTTTGGTCAATATGCGCTGATTTCAACTTTACTGGTAAGCATTAAACAACCTATAACCAACACAGTAAAAATATGTTTTATATTATGCAGGCTGCAGAACACTTACGGCTAGAAACTGACGATACTGACCGCGAATCGTTCGGGAGCGATTGCGTCTACAGTTACCGACCAAGCGATTATTTCGCGAAAGGTTCTTATGGCCGATTGTACATTGCGACAATAAACGACCCAATCACAGCAACCGGTGAAAAGGAATTAGCCGTTAAAGTCACCCACTTCGATCGCAATGACCATTTTGTAGTCCAGGATGAAGAGTGGGCAAAACTGTTGGCCAGGTGGAGAATGCTGATTAAATTACGCTGCGATAACGTTGTGACGTACCACAAAGTCTCTATCATTCGAGCAAGAAGAGGCGTTTCCGTTGAATTTTTAATGGACTACTGTTCCGGTATGTCGGTTTATGTTTTGCTTCACTAAATGGCAGTTATTTTCAAAGAGCACAAAAGTGCGATTCAAACCGACGAATTTGTTTGCCGGTTTGCAGTCTTGTAAAATTTGATAAGCTGTTGCGTATGTGAACCAGGTAAAGCAAAGACCACTTCTATCGCTTCAGGTGGTGACTTATCGACAGCGCTGTCTAAAATCAGAAAGAACAAGGCGTGCCTAGAATGGGGACGATCTCTACGCTATGCTATACAGATTGTCAACGGACTCGAATTCCTCCATAGCCGCAGACTAATCCATGGTGACCTGAAACCAGGAAATGTGTTTCTGCAAGATCATGCCGGGCAGTATGATACGGTTTTAATCGGCGACCTTGACAACCTGGTACTCATGCAGAGCAACATCACTAGCACTGCCGACATGACCCATTTGCGTGGCACAACTCGCTATATGTCTCCCGAAATGCTGAAACGATTCGGCGAGGAAGAGACGCCGCCCCCGGGGCGAGCAACGGACATCTGGAGCCTTGGTTGCATAATGCATGATTTATTTGACAGCTCCAGTGGAATTTCCGTGAGAATACTGGGCAAAGCAGGCTGCAGTGATTTTATTGTTTTTGACCATACGATCGACGCATCATACGCCATGAAAATTATGGAAGGTTTCGCGCCGGTGGTAAACGAACACATGGCTCCATGTTACAAAAATATCCTCCAGGCGTGCCTCATCTCGAACAGTAAATCTAGACCCAGAGCAGAGACTTTGAGAACCTTCCTTCTTCCCTTGGTGGACAGTACCACCGCTACCGCTAACACGGATACGCTGCCGCTGTTGAACTCAAAGATTGGACGTCGTGTCTGAGGAATGCACTTCTTGTTAAGTATTCTAGGACACTTTCCGATGTCTGGAAGCTTTTAAGACGTTAACCGTAAAACTTTTAAATGCTATATTCACGTGGCATCTAATGTAGCGTTCAGTTATCATTTATACGTCGCGCTGGATTCTAGCCTATCTAGGTATTGTATTCCTCAGCATTCCATACATACTGATGACCGCAATGGTGCGACATTCGTCAAACATGTTCAGCTTCATCGGATATGTTTCGTGTTCGAATTTTGAATAATTTCAATTAGTGCCTGTCAGTGCAAGCGTTTTTTTTATGTGGGTGAGCAATTCAAATTTCGGCCAAATTAAAAATTCAACGGATGGTTGTTAAGTTAAAGTTAACCATAGCTTTTGCAACTACAGGAGTGCCGCGCCAAGTTCGAGCAGTTGTGTAAAATAAATTTTCTAAAAAGCAGCTGCGGGCCCTGGCCTTCGCTCACTCCCGTTTGGCGCAAGAGGTTTCCCGCTTTCAGTGCGGGCGCGGAGCGTTTTCCGTATTTGACTAACCAAGCGCCGTGAATAAACGGTATTTTAAAGGCCCGCCTCACTCTACTCACCTCACTCCAGTCTTCCACTTGGTTTTACCGTCATCGAATTCCAGTTTGTCCGTAATAACAGTCGGATTACAGTACAGTATTTGTTTACCACCGCTGTTGCCCATGCTTACTAATCATAACAATATTATCCTCCAGATTTCCGATGTTTAGTTTTCTCCTGTTGTTTTCTACACAAAAGGGAAACTGCTGAAATACTTAGAAAAACTTACAATTTTAAACAAACATAAAACTGCCAAGTTGCTTGCTTGAACATAATTTTTTGATGAAAAGCAAAACCAACATGTACCGTAGGAATATTTCCGAAAATCGGCATTCAGCCTCTAGTTTTTTACAGACTGATTACTACTGAGTACTGAGTACCGACTAATGAAAGCTACCGTGAAAGCCTTGCGATAGTAAGATTTTAATACTGGCCAAACCATTTCGGGAGGCGACAACTTTATCTATGGGCTTTTGAGCCTCTAACATGATGTTGACATAGCATAAAAAACAGTCGTGTTGTGAAGAAAAAAAAAGCCTCATGATGGCACGTGCATGGGCAAGGAAATTAAGTGGCTTTCTTCAGACATCGCTTTGATAGTTTTTCCGTGACTCAATCTGCAGGCGGTGGATGCATTGCCCAGCGGCCTGACGCCATTGCTTCGATCCAACATGCACAACAACGGATTCAGAGTGCAATCCAGCGAAAACAAAAATATTAACAATCGCAAATGTCGTCACACTCAAGGAGGTGGTTGACGTCATCATGAAGGGAAACACGATATGACCCGGCGTCCAGAACAACAGAGAGTTGACGAAAAGGATGGTGAGTACCGCAAAATGTTTATTGCGCTTTTGGGCACGGCTGTCGTTCTGGACGTGTACTTTGCTTCGAGGAGTGTTCACTCATCACTGTATGCGTCACATCGCCATATCGTGGTATGGAACCTACAGCGCCTTGGAGTGATTGTACAACCCTATGGGCACGTGTTCTGCGGAGAATTTTCGTTTTCCAGAAGACGACCGGATAAATAACGGTGACCAGTGCCTGCGGCAAAGGATGTGTGATGTATCCATAAAATGAACGGTAGAAGTAGTCGTAGCCGAAGTTGTAGATGCAGAAATGTCCGAGGCCCGGTCCACGCCGCGGCAATCGTGACCGAGGAACACCGGCAACGACAACCCATTGATGATGACAATTACTGTAGTGATCAGTCCGGCCGCCAATTTCCGCGTGTACCGGACGCGATAGCTGTAGTGGACCGCCCAGAGCCGGTTGATGCTGATAAGGACGTGCACCGAGACAATACACGCGCTCAGCGCTGGTAATTTGTGCACAGTAGATAACAAATAAGCACCAGTACTCGCCGAAAACCCAACGGAACTGGAGATAATTGCTGATATGCGCCACGTTGCTGGTGCATGATTTGATTAAATCCATGGACTTCGTAAGGATATTAGTAAATTGACGCTACCCCCCAACCTCTGTTTTTTAACCGAAACCGACTACAGATTCAAAATCAGCGCATTTTTCTGAGCTAGAAATCATCCTTCAAAGTTAGAAAAGGTCAAAACGAAATGCTGACTGCCGGCCCCCCAGTGCCCCAGAATGGCCTGGGGTGGTGGCAGTGGAGACAAAGACGAAAAACTTTGTTTCTGCATTTTGAATACTTATTCTAGGTGAATCGGCAACGCTGAATCCAAATATGCTGTCAGAAAAAGATTTCAACGGTCTCCAAGAGCGCTCGGTGAAAATTTCTTTTGTTCCAGTTTTAGCGTGTTAATTATAAGCAAATCAAATTGTCGACCGGACGCCCTCGAAAAACTAATAATAAAAAATATATGACTTTTTTGTTCATCAAGACAACATCTCACAAAGCTCCGAATGCAGGAACAACACCGGAAAACATGGCCTGCTGCACAATGTATTGACGAAGAGAACCAACACAGTCGAAACGCGTGTTCCAGCGTGGGATTCCCTAATGTTAGCATCATGCGATACCACCCTTATAATTACAGGCTGTACCATTCAAAACCGGCTATCCAAAGTGTTTCGCTGTATTTTGTATTCCATATCCGTATGATTGTTACCTGCGTCTGAAATTCCCCAGACAAAAGATGGTGATGCTCTTTTGGAAGGGAGAAGATTTTCAAATGAAAACGGCCACGGGCTTTCCATTCCGTTAATTATGATAGCCGCCGAACTGACTGGTAATTCAATGCTGCATTTTCATGCTTTCTGGATAGTATTCTCCATCGTTGTATCTCAGTCTGTTTTAGTAGTATTAGCGGTATTCCCATAAGTCAGCTCCAAAGGAAATAATAATGCTTATTATTGTCTCTCCTGCATTTAAGCGGATCGCCTGGATTCTCCAAGGACTGAGTTCCTTAGCTGCTTTCCAAACGGAGAATAGCCATCCACGGGCATTTCATTAGCTATTACAGGCATTTTCTTAACATTTTCTTAGCTTAGCTTTTCTTTGCTTAGCTCTCATCCAGATTCCACGGGGAGGTACGAGTATTATCGCACCATTATCGTTCCGCGAAATTGCTGCTACATAAACTAACAAGGACGCACATTAAAATTACGATCAAACCCGTACGCGTGTGAGCAAAGCGATGCTTTCTTTACTATAGCTAGAGGACAAATTCAGGTTTCTTGTTGTATCTCAAAGTCGTTACGATTAAAGGCGGTTCTCATGTCATTACGATTAAATAGTTCGATCTTCCTTTTTCTTTAGAGATCTGACTTGATTTACCGTTTATGCTTTTCTTTCTTGCGTATTTTGTTCCAGCAGTATCCGTGTGGGCTGCATCGACGTTGCTGGGACCCGAGTCCCCATGATTTCAGGCGATAGATAATGCTAACTTGACAGCCATTATGCCCTAGAAATGTTCCATAATCGGTGCATTCATCGAATGTCAACGTGTTTTACGTATCTTTAATCCGCACTGGCGCTGCGCCAATGGCGCACCCCGCCCAGAGTAAAATCATACAGCATCTTGCACTAAGCTTGTGATAACGTAAGCGATTCCCCCTGGGTACTTATTGTTAGGGTTGTTGATACCATTTGGTATTTGGTATTGTGGTACGGCTGGTATACCACTTACCAATGGTATATCAGGCAGGTGTCAAATGGTGAAATTAAATACCAGATATACCAGATAAAGTTTGGTATACCAAAATGCGTATGGTATTTCCAAAAATTAATTTAATTTGCAGTGCAGGACTGCAGGAGATGGAGGAGCAGGTTTAGAAAATCGTAAATCTACTGCCAGCGGTACGATTTGGTGTTCTAAGAATCAGTCTCTGTCGCTTACTGTGCTTAATGCCACGAGTATTATCGTTCACAACCATGCAGTTTGATAGAAGTATCCATCATTCGCTCTGCATCAGCATCTACGAGGTATATCAGTCAGAAATTCTACTGTAATGAGAAATCATTATTTTGTGTTCGTTTCAAAAACAAAACTACCCGTTCGATATCACTAAGAGCTCCTGTAATAAATCTAGCTGCAAATCCAGGACATATTCGAGCATGACTGAATAACGAGTCCGAATAAACGGACGATCAGTCTCAGTGTTCTAATTCACTGGTTGTGGGTTGACCCGCATCAAGAACACTGGATTCTTGCCCGCATGTGAGAAAATTATTAAATAAGCGACCGCGTTTTAAATACTCTGTGATTTGTTCGAGAGCGGAAAGGATTAGTTAACCGTTTTTTCATGTTAAAGCTTATACCAAGTTTAATTTCAACGAAAAAAGCCAAATACCATAGCATATTTAGAATACCAGGTATTACTGGTAATACCAGTGGTATTAACTGGTATACCAGTGGTGTAAACTGGTATACTGTCACGTAATGATTTTTATATAGATAATTGAGCGACAGCTCTGATTCACTTTTATGATGTTGCTACTGTTTACTGATTCATTTAAGCGATATGCTCACTCGTGCTATCTGATATTGTCGTGTATAAGCGTTCACGCCGGTTAGGGCTCCATGAACAATCTTTACTCTTCCACGCCTGTAATGCTCAGTCGGTAGGCAACTCTTATCTCAAACTGTAACAGATAAACTACGGTGGAAATAGGTCGAACGACTCAGGAACCCAGGAACTCAGGAATCCCTAACGAAGAGTCCAGCTGCAATCTCCGGTCGCAGTTTCTACGAGGATCAACAAGAGCCAGGACGATTGTGTCAGGAGCAAACCTGTATACTAAGCGATAATCCGGGAACGACTATGCACTTCCGTAGGAACAAGTATTGCTGTCTCTTTATTAATACACTTCGTAGTCCACAACACAAGGAAACTGTAACTAGCAAGCAGTCTCAGAAGCAAATCCCAGACTACTGATCAGTGACTGCTGCCGATTTTAGGAGTAACCAGAACTTATATAGACTACGCGTTATGACATCACATACACCGCTAGTAAAAGAGAACAGCAAATCACAGCATAGATTGACTAGATTATCTGTTATGTTGCAGGTGGAAGGCGGACAGTCAGCATCCGTACGTACATCCCGGCGTGTGATCCTACTCCCACACGTCACCCCCACGAACG